ATATATATATGTTTCAAAAAGAACAAGAACAACACTTCTACTCAATTTATCAGTGAACTTGAATAGAAATAAAACAAAGGGAACATCGAAACATAAGTGGTTTCTACATTAGATTTAAGATAAGAGGTATTCGATGCCAACTAAAGGAATACACAGGACTTTTCCCAATAACATATAATGTTCAATCAGCTAACAGTTGCACACAACGTATTCAACAAGAGCTCAAGATGAGCAAAGCGAGTAATACAGATTTGCATGCAAAAGCATGTGAACATATAATTAATTAGCAAAACTGCATTGCCAGTGTGCCCTGCCCTCTTTAAATCCCCCTTGAGGCTTGCTCATGTTGATACCCCACTCCCCAGAACGGGGTATATACCCCTGAGTTGGGTGGCAACCAACTAAGCCGAGCGGTATGAACCAAGGGCACGAAATACGACATTCCACATTTTTATTCGTTTGTAAAGGGATCGCTCCGTGCAATCGGCTTTCCATGGGAAATAGCGGAGCAAATGTACCAAAGCTCAGGCGTCATAGGACTCAAGGATCTAAGCCCCCTCCTCTAAGCTCCCAATTCCTCGAAACAAAACCCGTCTCAAATTGTGGGGGCCATGAACACCTAGGGTCTATTTTGCAAACCCTAAAAACCCAACCCTACAAGATGGAGCTTGCAGTCTGGGCCGAGCGCGAGCAGTGCGCTCCCACACCTGTGCCGGAAGATCGGAAGCCACCCGTCCAAGCCGCTTACAAGGGCCTAGGTTTTGCATGGCTTAACAATTCCAAACGGCAGGAAGCGCCTGGACCCCAGATTTACCTTTGCCTTTCATGGGGGTACCCCTTATTCCATGAATCGTTTAATTTGGTTGTGGGGATTTTGAAGAACTCGTGCAAGCAGGGTGGGCAACTCAGAAAAGACGTCAGTTTGTTTCCCTCCCATTTGTTAAACGGAGGGGCCTTCAAATTGGGGACGCCAAGTTGACCGCCTCTGTCATAAAGCAGGTTATGAAAGCCGCACGGCCGTGGGATTTATAAACTCATAAACCAACTCATAACCAAATCGGACCATCCTTTTGGTGGTCAAGTGTTTGCTCGGGGGTTGACCCGTGACTTTTGTCTATAGTAAGGCGGTCTCTCAAGATGACCCGCCCATCTTGCCTGGAGCGATACGCCATCAAGGCCTCGCCGAGATTCGACTGTGTGCCCAATCAATGTGTCAATAAGATAGCGGTGTTCATGTCGGTGTCCCTTTGAACCAACCCGCAAACCAAAGGGAAACCACCCGCTTTGGACGCTTTGGTGGGCCAGCATTTTAAAATAAGCCCATTGGCAATGGTTTCTGACGCAATACTCGCAGTTACTAGCTGTTTCGACGGGACACCAACGGGAATCACAACATGCTTAGACCCACCGTAGGCAAATACCACCCGCCTGGAGCCTAATAGAACTGTTGCCCGAAGATCGGTTGCCCAACTACTCCAAATTACTAGCTGACCGGGTATTGAATACGGGGCCAAGCAAAGAATAAAGCAGTATCCATCCCATTGTGGCGCCCTTTCCTGATCAAACGATAACAAGGTGACACGTGTTGAGTGATATCTAAACATGTAGATGACACTTTGATTAAAGTAGGTGGCACGGTTCCCTAATCAAAGTGAATGGACCGACCGTCAGCAAGGAAGGATAAAAGGAACACAACTTATCATCTTGAGCATTGTCATGTCCCAGCTTGGGTGTGAGGGACAATGACTAGCTACATCATTCTAAGGGCCAACTTGCATACCCCAAATGGAAATACCCCAAAAAATAGTGGGTATACATGGATTACACCGGGTATATACCAAAAAAGCAATCACTATATAGGGCCTATCAGCCGCGTATGTCCATTTGTGGTACGCAAGATGGCCCTTTCTGAGCCCCTGGTAAGAACCCCTAGTTTGTGGGTTAATTGACGCTAGCCCTGGCTCAATTATGGGAAATCAGCCCCCCAAGAATCCACAATGACCATAGGTTCACATATGGATCTAGAGCCCTTCCCTTGCTTGCCCTCAACACCAAGCATTTCTGGACCTGACTGAGGTTGGTTTACAGCACAAAGCAGGTTGCAGTTGTCCATCTCAGTCTACTGACAGGTTCGACTGCCGGACTCCTCCGTTCCATTCTTCCCGAAGGGATTCATCCACAAACGCCCAAACTATTTGCTACCAGTCCCAGTGGGTTGACCATTTCAGTGGGGAACCCACTCCTCAAAACAGAAAGGAAAAAGCAAAACACACCGAACAACTGGGAATCCAACTTGTCGGACAACTGCATTTCAATGACCAGGGAAGTATTGGCCGAAGAAATCGACGCAATATCCCCTATCTGCGGAGGGGGCCAGCTCCAGGTTCATCTTTCGCTGAACAATGGATTTGTAGGAGCTGGCCCCAATTCCATTGTTAAAGGAATTGGGACGCTTGTCCAACTTCGGATGGTGCATCTCTCGAGCAAAACAAGAGATGCGCCTGACTGGCCGATCTCCAGCTCGGAAATCATGCGCCCCGCGTGTATTTGAGCGCCGGTTGACCCAGGGACCCAGGGCCGAAAAAGGTGCACCTGAGTTGATGCAAAGGTAGCAAGCAGCTTTGTAGAAGATTCTAAGTACTCACTTGCTCAAAGAACCCGGGAATGCAAAGTTGACCTTTTGGGACTTTGACTCAACACGGACCAAAACGGAACACCCAAAGGCTTTCCAAGGGCGATTCGCTTGATAAGACTCGTCTGAACTTGCTTGAAGATTTTTCGCCCAAAGGGTCTCAACCATCCAGAGCCGCGCAAAGGGGTGCATGCCAATTTTGACCCCTTAATGGCCAGAAACCAATCAAATGAATGTTGACCCCGGATTAATAGACCCCTGTTTATCAACAGGAGGGTGTCCGCGGGGATTCAACACTGTTGGAGGAGTACACCCCCTATGAGTAGGATGGGTTTGTTAATATTGGGTCAACATTATAGGTTCAGAAGTGGATAAGTGAGACAACTGGGCTTGACAAATGGGTTCCAGGAGCGCTCCTACCTGAAAAACAGCGGGGATGCTGAAGTCGATCTCAAACACTAGAACTCAGGTACACCCTCTACTCATTCGTCCTTAACCTCGTTCAAGTCGCCCTCGATGGATTTCCCAAGTGCCTAAGGTCAGGAATCCTAGTCACATTCTTCTTCGTGCATAGAACGCATAACCACATGAGCGTTGCCATCTATCTGCAAATGCCGTTAGCAAATTGAAGGGTTTGTCATACATGGGCCCTTCACATCCACCCCGATGTCGGGAAAAAACCTCCGCATGGAGCAAGCTCTTCCATCTCTACCTTCGAGCCGTCCGCGCACACAAACCCGCCGTTTATCAAAGCAACTCGATGAGAGGCGCCCAAAACCGATACCCAACCTCCAAAACTGCTCCTACAGCCCCCAACTTCCTTTCTGTTTTGGTTGATCTATTCTGGTCTACTTTAGGGAGTGTGTTTGGGTGGCGTGCATGGGGTCGTATCGGCCGCTTTGAGGGAAAGCAGTTCAAGGGGTGTCCGGCCTTAACGCAACGCACATGCCTTACTCAAAGTGGTTGCCAAAAAGGTTAAACAAAACTCACAGGTCGAAATGAGGTGGTCCATGGCTGTCTGAAGGGTTGGTTCCTCTGGGTTTCATGATGCAGGAGTCTCCGATTTGACACATACCTGGACCCCCGCACAATGGAGAAGACCAAAGGCCCTTTCCCTCACCCTGCAGTCTGGAACAAACTCTGAAAAGCTCTCTGAGGGGTTGGTGCTTCGAACCCGAAACACAAATTACATCCCTGGTGTCAGCCGCACAGCACTCTTTCCGATGCCAATCCGCCGCGCATGCCGCTTCCCTTTGGGAAGGTCGGCGCTAAGTGTGTAATTCCAAAGCCTTCGAGGCTACCACGCGATCCACCGGGTCTCATATGAAAGTGACATAACTCCTAATATGGGTGTCTTCCATAGGGTGTCCCTTAAAAAGAAAACAAAATAGCAAAAACACATAACACATGACATCCAAGAAGACACCTTTTGCGCGGTTTGAGCATAAACAAACAGGGCAAGAAAGGCACAGAGCAAAGCACGCATACATGGCACTGCCGGTTATTATTCGATTCATGTGCTTTGCCCGAAACACAAACGCACATCGAACCAAGTTGTTCATCCTTCATTCAAACTCATGGCTTTGCACAAGTTAAAGCCCGGCTTTTTGGGCAACCAGCCGCTGTTAAATCAATAGAGCCAACTTCAATGTCCCTCCTGCAGATTGCCATGGCAAACCAAGCACATATTATTTGTAGAGAAAACTCTTTGTGAAGTAGCCCCTTTCCGGCATCCATGCGAATTTGCCCGGAAAGCGTTTCAAACATTGGGCAGGAACACCAGCTACTGGTGCTCCAATTGGCTTGGGAGGTAAGGCTTGTATGCCGACAATATATTCAATCCCCCCCCCCTCCCCAAGCAAAACTCCCTGGCTTGCTTGGCGTTCAATTAATTGAACTTTCAGGTATGTCGCCCAGGTGGGCAGCCCATCACGAGCCCCTTTTTTTGGGCTCCCAGTTTACTGGGTTCCCCAGCCAACTCGATCAACGCTTCGGATGCGGAGCTTTTGGTGCCTCTTGAACTTGGGACCAAGGCCTGGCTGTGGCGAATTCAAAGAACCGGAAAATTCCAAAATGGGTTGCCCTGGTAAGTGGAAACATGGACCAAACCGCATAACCTCTCCTGTTTAATTTTGAGCCACACCCATATGTATATATATATATATATATATATAGAAACAAGCATCTAAACATCCATGTGAATCTGACAGTCCACGTCTCTTGAACTGCCTGCTGCTGGTGTGATGTAGATTCCTGAGTGGACCAACCGAACAAAGTCCAAACTTCTTGTTTGCCACTAACATGTGTGCCTCCCAAAATAGATCCCAAGGCTCTATCTATCTATATATATATATACATCGATGGTATATCTCCGAAACCAATCTCTCTGAATACTCGCGATCTCTGGCTTTACCTCGGCACCCTCAGCGGCGCTGGTCCCACCGCTCACGCTCCATGCCAACCCAGACCATCTGCCTCACACGGCTGGCTCCATCCCGCCGATCACTGCAAGTCCAGCACAAGCTGTTTGAACAACCTCTGCTTTCGTCCCCCACCCCTCCCCCCAAACAAAAAAGACATGACCCGTGGGTGGAATCAACAAAGTGGGCGAACACTCTGCCTGCAAGGCTTTTTGCTATGCACGGTTTCTTCCAACATCCGCTGGGGTACAAGCATGGGTCCTAGAAAGGGAAACTTAAGAACAAACTGCCACATGTTTACCCTTGTTTGGAATCTTTCGAGGCATGGACCAACCCTGAAGATGATGCAACCGCAAAGGGGACACCTGAGCCCGGAAACCTCAAAAGCGGCTGGACATAACCCTACGATGTCCACCAAAGGCTCCGGCAAATTGATTTTCATTCACACTTCCTTGAAGGGGACCCCCCAACACCACCCGCCACACACCGGGTCCCTTGCAAAAGACCAAACTAGACCATTTTCGGAGGTGTGGAAAGGGGGGGTCCAAACGGAAAGGTTGTATGAGTCATGCCTATCTTGAAACAGGGCTCTCTACCCCAGTGAATGCATTTGCCTGTAGGTAACCAAGGGAACCTTTGAAAGCCAAAAGCAAAATGCCTGGCTACCCCACGAACAACTCCAAGGCTTCGGGGTTCTGATGCTTTCTGCTGGCTTGTGGAACCCAACATTGGCGTTCAGTTGACTTACACAGCCAGTTGCCCCTTGTACAACCCAACAAAATAAAGGTTTAACTACCCTTTTGGGTTGCCAAGACTGAACATTGACCAACATGAGGAAACTAAAAGGTCAAAAGGTCGACTTGGAGAAACCTTTGGGAAGTAATGAACCCTGATACAACATCACACCGGTGGGAAATCTAAGAGGCTACCACCAAAATCGCATCCAAACCGTTGGAAGCGCCATCTTCCAAATAGAAGCAGAGGGCTTGTAAGAGCAAGTGGGCCTGGAGCCTCAAATTGCATTGAGTGAAAGGCTCACGTGTTGGGATGGCGGGCGCGGGACATCCCAAAAATTATGCTTGCGCCTTTCCCTTTCGAGTTTGCCACCGCCAAACAAAGCCTCGAACGATTGGATTAGTTGACGGGTTTCGCGCGGCAAAAAGGGAAGACCCTTTGGACGAGGATCCGTAGCAGAAGTTTCTGGGACCCGCTTGACCCCAGCAAAAGATGCTCTGCCCCAGGAACAGTTTAATAGTCTTATGGAGGGGCATGTTTCTTGGTGGCTGCTACCGCCTTTTTGCAACAAAAGCCCAAGGTGTGAGACCACCTAACCAACATGCTGAAGGTTCAAGATCCAACCCAATTCCCGCCAAGGAATCATTCGGGCTTCACCACCCGAACCAACTAGTTGTCAAAGCCACAACCAAGGCAAGTTGGTTTCGACATTTTTTTTGCAAAGGCCTTCTTTGGGGGGAATGACATTTCAACGTTGTAGGGTTGATTCCCCATTCTTTTCAGCCATCGTTCTTTTCCAAAACCAGCCATTTCCCCAGGGTTTTGGTGGTTTTCCGGAAAAGAAGGATCCCTGGAAAGAATGGGGAAGTTCCCCCTGGAAATGTGGAAACTTGACTTTTTTTGCCCACCAGACCTGAGCCGCCCGAAATGGGGGTTGCCGAAACTCGTCCGAGGCGAGGGCGTCTGTGTTTTTCGATCGCTCCACGACCTCGGTCGGCCAAAATCACGAATCTGCCAAATCCGGATGCACAAGGAGTCAACATTCCAAATCCAGACCAAGTCACCTACATACCCTCCGAAGTGAACGGGGCTATACATAGACCCTTGAAAGTGTAGGGGCCAAGTCGAAATTGATCCTTAAGCTTTCTACGGCCTTCAATCGTCGCCTTTCCATCACAAAGGGTATTCTTCGCCCGGCGTGCCACCTGCCACCCCTCCCGGGGTTCCTTGGTGGCCGTTGGAGGATACTTCTGCGAGAAGTTCTACTCCAGTACCCCCCGAACAACGGCCTTAGGTTGGAAATGGGTGGTACGGTTTACGACATAAACATTGCATAAAGGGCATTTACAGTCAACCCAACTGGTCTTCCAAAAACATGGAGCTCGAAAAAGGAAGGTCATGTGCTTGCCTTGCGAAAGCTGTGCCTTGCTTCACATGGTCGAAGCTTTTGCAAGCGCCTCGGGCACGCGTTAGCGTTAACTGTGGCAACTCCTGAGCTTGCCAGCAGTAGAATGAGTTGCCCTGCGAGGTTTGTCAAATATGACCATGCAGCAAATACCGGTGCCTCCGGTACTCAGCCAATACAAAGGTAGGTGGAGGGGCAAGCATTTTGTAGAAAAACGAAGCCATCTCTTGCCCAATGGAATCCAGGACCCGTTGACCTTTGGGGACCTTGACTCAAAATGGCTGTCAACGTTGGAAAACAAAAAGGTCTCAAAGTCGGCTCACTTTGGACTGGGAGCAATCAGCTTGGGCCAACGAAGTCACACTTCCGGGCTTAGGATCAGGCGGCAGCATGGATGACGCTCTGTCCGGCGCTGTTCTCAGCAAAGACCTCGGCTTCAGTTTCAGAGCGCCGAAACTGAAACTCCGACACCCCAAGCCTCATGGATGGCTTGGCCTTGCTACATCCCAAGTTGCTCAAACGGAACCTTCGGGGTGGGTCTTTGGGGGTAGGAAACAACGGCTCATCGCTCATTTGGTTCGATCGGTCAGCCCCCCACCCTCCCTGAAGCAAAAGCTGTTTGTTGCTTACTTTTTACCACTAAAATGGTCCAAACCCCAAGAGTTGGTTTAGTCCAGGAACTCAGGGAGTAAGGTTCAACTGCCGGACGTTCCCCGGGTTTGCGCCAAAATATATAATACAAATATATGAATAATATATGTATATATATGTGTATGAAAAACACCTCTTTCATTTGTATCTCTGCGCGTACGCGTTTGGCCGGACAATCCCCCACAAAGCGGGGCCTATCTGCAAGAGGGATGTGCCATTCTTCAAAACTGCCATGGCTTTCGGACGCCTTCACAATATTCCCCGAGCAAGTGACGGCCCCTACCAACCCCCAGCTCACGTAATGGTGAGCTGGGATTAGCAATGCTCGCTGGAATAATGATTTGCCGGCTGCTCGGGACAATTAGTGAAGACCACTGACATGATCACCAAGATCCAAATCTCAAAAGGAAGCTCCAGCATACTACAAACGGAAACTCAAATCCCTCAAAACCAATCCCGAAAGGAAGCTCCAGCAATACCAAATGAACTGGACTCAAAAGGATGTTCCAGCAATACTGAACCAAGTGGAGATCTCACATTCCTCAAATCCAATCTCAAAAGGAGCTCCAGCAATACTAAATCACACGGAAATCTTACATCCCTTAAATCCAATCTTAAAAGGAAGCTCCAGCAACATCCCACATTCCTCCAGCAACATCCCACCTTCCTCAAAGGCCAATCTCGGAAATCTCACATTCCTCAAATGATATCAAAGGCAGCGAACTAAATTCTTATTGCCTCTGTTAAATCCCATCTCGAAATGAAGCTCCGGCAATACTAACTCGAATGGCAACTCCAAGTTGGCCCAGCAACACTACCGCATTCTGAATCAATTGATTTCGAGGGGGGAGCTTCAGCAAAAAGTGCCAAGATTCTGAAGCTGGTTGGTGCATGGAATGTTGAAATTGCTTGTTTTTCTGTCCTTCAGCACCAGCCAAAAACCCTAGCTGAAACTGCACTATGGCTTTTTGACTAGTAGGGAAAATGGGAATGACCCCCAACCCTTTCCTAAAACCTAAAAGAACCTAATAGTGCTTGGTAATTGGAAAGCAGAGCATGCAAAAACAACCAACCAAAAGGTGAAACGGAACATGGCAATGAACGACGAAGCTTAGTGGTTGGTATAGCCCTAGGGTCCCACGACCTTAAGACCTCATACTTGAGGTCTTGGGATCCCAAATTCCTAAATTCCCCAAGAACCAGCAAGCAAAGGCTTTGCCAAACTGGGCTGCCCTCAGATCCCCAGCTAAAAGTTTAACTTTTGGCGGTTGAAATGGTAATCCAACCACTCAACCCACTAAAAAGCGAAAAAGCTAAGGAACCGGATGGCTGGGAGCCACCAAGAGAAGACTCTGCATCGCAGCGGCATCTTGGGCTCCGCGAAAAGCTCCGCCGCGCTTTTGGTGCCCTGCAACTCCCGCCTCGTCTTTTTTCCGAGGCGTGACAGAAATACGGTGGATGCCCTGGATGTGGCGTGTGTGTGTGTGTGTTGTTTTTGATTCTTGTTTTTTTCTTCGGTGGCTTTAAAGGGAAGCCAGAGAAAACCACTCGTTGTGGAAAGCTCCCCTATGTTGACATCGTTTGACGTCTTGCAAGTAAGAAAACATTCGGAAACCCTTTGTTTGGCTGTAACATACTGTGGTTTTGTGGCTGAGTACTCTTGGTTTGCCTGTTGAATGGGATCGGGTTCGGTTCGCCCGAACTGTTCGGGAAGACTTTGACCGCACGTCCAATTTTCGCCTGTCCGGCTTGTTTCGGTGTACCCCTTTGTGGTCTTCAAAGGACCAAAATGATCATATCCCATTTCCGGGGGTCCCCAAAAAGACAAAGGTGGGCAAAGGAAATGAGGAGTGACCATTAAAAAACAACAACTGCGGTTTAATCTGCAGGACCCTAGTTAGAGGCACCTCCCCAAAAAATAATAATAATAATAATAATAGTTCAGTTCCTTGGTATAAAGGGGAACCCACCCCTGAGTAGTACGGTGCTCCAAATAAAACTTGTTTTTGCTTGGAGCTGTGCCATCTCTCACCCAAGCTCGTGCCAAGCTTCAAACTCAGGGTGCCAACCTTTGTTATAGAGGGCTTCCATTTGCTGAAGTCCTTCGGAAAAAGGAAGCATGCCTCCAGTAGTATTAGATTACTTTTAAGACCAAGGGATGAAAAATAAAGAAACAAACACATGTTCTTACATTTGCCAATAGCCCTCCCCCCAAAAAAGGTATGACTTTTCAGTAGTGATAGATTTTTGTTTAAAAAAAAAAAAAACAAGGGTAAACAAACAAACATATTCTTACATTTGCCACCAGCACCCCGGAAAAAGAAAACATCTGCAAGGCTTTCTTTACACATATTCATTTCAGCCATTTGGGCAAGTGAGGGCAAGAAGCCACACCGAATTGAGCAAATGGAAGTATTCGATTCAGCCACTGGAAGGGAAATGTACAGACATACTGGTTTGTTTGTTTTGCGGCCTTCTCCTTCTTTCCCCCTCCCCCAAAAAAATCGCTGCGTCGAACAAGCACTGTGCGCTATCGCAAAAAACTGGAAGGGCGCAGAAGGGAAGCATCGATAGAAAAGGCGCGGAGTCCGAGCTACCGGGACTCACTCGGCAGAGTGCCCTTGCTGCGCAGGAAATCTGCGAACTGCGACGTCCTTTGGGACTCTACCTGCAGCGCGCGCTCCGGAGCGCTCCCCATGCAGTGGGGAAGCGTCCCAGGTTTGTCTCAAAAATCAGGTAACCCCCAAGTGGAGGTTTGCATGTGTGGGAATCGGACAACCTCCTCACCTTTATGGCACCTCTAAAACAGACCAACAAATGGAAAACCAGAAGACGACAAGGTCGATTCATTCGGCAAGCGTGGTCTTATCTAAATAACGGGCAAACGTGACGGGAGTGGCCAAAACTCTGACGTGGAGATGTGACCAAGTTTTTTTGGAATTTCCGCCTGTTTCCATGATCCGTGGCCGCGTTTGTCTTGTTCGGAAACTCGGTGGCCAATATGTCCAGTTAGGTAAGCAAAGGCCGCAAAATAGAATAAACTCGGCAGACACCGACCCGCGCGAAACGCACACAAACCAATTTAGCCACCTCCTGTGGTGTTTGCATCTAACTTGTACAGTACTTGTCCGCCTCTGTTCGGTTGTCAACGGGATTGCAATCCTCCTAAAAAGGGCTTGTGGGCGTGTAGCCCTATTCATAAGTCAAACAGGTCCCTTGAAGGATAGTTCAAAAGTCCCTTTCATCAGCTATTTAAGAGCATTCCTCAGTTTTTTTTCCTGAAGGGGAGCCAAAAGGACAACCACGATTTTGGGGGTCCCCTGCAAAAGGCACACCCACAGTTGGCTTTTGGCTGTATCCATCCTGGCCAACTAGGAACGTTCGACCTCAACGTCGGCGCTTGAGGCTGGCGCCCCATGCAGCGGCGAGGAAAAGCTCATCACCATGCGCGCCTTTCCTCGAGCGGTTCAAAAACGCCGGCAGCACTCTGCCTGGGTTCTGGTCCCATGGGATCCATTTCCCCCAAAAATGCAACGCATCCTCTCGCCTCCGAAAGGGGGAAAAACACCTTGGCCCAGAACATCTTTTTATAAACCCGCTTGCCCAGTGACCAGCCTATGGAGCAGGCCCCAAACATTGAGTCAGCTCTCTACTTGGCTAAGGAGTGGTTTCTCATTTGCCCTCTACAAATTCCAGGGGTTCAAATCCGAATCCAAGCCAGCAATCCAAACCACCAATTAGGCTTACCTGACTATAGATAGGTTCTGCGGGATCCGTCATTTGAGATCACTTCCCCCAAAGCAACAAAAACAAAAACGCCCCCTCGCCTGCGAAATTACCAGTGGCCAAGACTATGTAAACCCAGCTGTCAGTGACCCTGGTCGGAAAGAAGAGCACTTTTCGGAGGTTGATCAATTCTAGGATCTCACCAAACAAAAAGAGGCCATGAAACCAATTCGCCACGGACTTGGAGGCAGTTTTCTTTGCACCCTGCACGCAAAAGGGAAGCAAAGCATGCTTATAAATGTGTTTGAGCAAGGCATGGTCCATTGATGCAGTGCCAAACGTTGAACTTGTGAAACGGATTCAGAAGACGCCACTGAACAACGGGGTGTCTGGGTCAAACCCGAAACATTGAGTCAAGAGTCTATTGAGCGGACTTCTAGCAACTCCAGCAATTTTGCACGGGGTTGAGGGCCTCACTCATAGGGACACAGAGGTTGATTTGCCACTGTAAGGGCCGAAATAGGCCACATTAGCACAACTGTCATAATCATGGGAGAAGAATGTGTGAAATTGTTTACTTCTTTATTCTACTCAGCCGCCCGTGCTTTGTTCTGAGTACGATTGAAACTCCCCTGTAAATTAAGATGCCTTGCCCCAAAGAGGGGACCCCCAAAAAACCAACTCCACCACATACGATGGATCCACCAACGTTGCCATTGAACCGACCCGAGGTCTAAATCAGCAGCCCTTCCAGCTAATGGGTAGAATAAATCACCCCCTCTTAAAAACCCTTGGCATGGCACATAAATACATGCTTTTTGCAGCCCCAGCCCCCTGCTGAACATGAACAGAACCAACCAACAAATGCCAACAACAGTTCAGCCCTGATTACTTCATGAAACAATGTCCCATTTACAAGGAAAAACACTCCCACTGATTACCCACTGGTTGCTAAAATCCAGGGTTGTCATTGCCCCTACCTTACCTGTAGAGTTGATGTAACGCTATGGTACGATCAGGGCTGTCCTCAGCTCCCCGTCGAAGTGGGTTAAATGGAAACCCCCACTCCCTCAAAACCTCAGAACCTAAGGAACCGGACGATTCGCTGGGACCCCCCAAGCTAATATCCTTGCTCCTTTCGTAAGCACCCGACGTTGCTCCCGGCTGGGCGGGCAGGACCGCGAGTAGGCGAAGGGCCTCGCGCGGCGATTTCCGGAACTGTCTTGCTCAAGCGGAACCAAGGATTAATACACCGGCTGAATAACAGGGGAGGGTCTCCGTTTAGAGGAGGTCCTTCACTCTTTCTCTCATTTGCTTTTGCTTCTTTCAGCTGCACGGATTACCAGTCGAGACCCTGTGCCTTCAGTAGCTAATGGGGAGGTGTAACAATTTACATACATCCGGACTGCTCCTGATCGTTCCAGGTGTGGTTGGGCCCTGGCAAAGGGAAACTAACGGAAGGTGTGTACCAGGTTGTAGGTGTGGTTTGATCAGCCTTCCCCTCATTGGTGATTTGAGTTGGTGGTTTGAAGGTGGCATGGGGGCACCTTTCCCATTCAATGCCATCCAAGAACATAATCAAACCACCAAGTAACAGTGGCTAGCAATCCTCTAGCTTTGTGCAGCTCCAAAAGATATGAACAATTCACCTTACACACCGGATACCCTGCCGAAATAAAATTCAGCACGAGCTGCTTATGTTGGCTTGCTGGCACTTGAGCGAAAAACGAAACTAAATCAACATAAGGCAAGAACTTAAATCCCCGTCACCCCTCTGACTCTCTTTACAACTAATACAAACCTTTTAAGACCCCTCATGAAAAGAACTGTGAAAGCGGGCCTGCCTTTCGAGTTTCTCCCACTTTCTGCTGCTAAGTCCGGACAGCTTGCCGCAAATGTGCGGAAATGCCTCTTATTTCCAAGCTGCCTATCTTTGTGGAATTGCGCCAAACCGCACACCCACGCCACCTCTCAGAACTCACGTGATTTGCGGGGGAACCGGTGAGTGCAGAGAGGTTCTGAAGTCAGCCCATCTTTTGGAACTTCATCCCATCTTTAGGACCACGCGAAACTGATACCCTGCAAAGCTTTGCTCCCGGGTTGGGTTGTTCTAACTGGGGGGAACGCCCCAATCTGCAATCCGGAAAAAAAGCGCCTTTCTTCGTTAAAAAAGGGATGTACACACATCTGGGCTGCCCTCAGATGCCCCGCGAAAAGCTTAACTTTTCGAGGGTTAAGTGGAAACTACCACTAAACACTAAAAGGCTAACAAGCTAAGGAGCCGGATGGGCTTGGAGCTACCAAGACATGCACAAAACGGTGCCACTGGTTGCCGGCTGAACCGCTTCGCCGAGAGCTGGGCTTCGCCAATGCCAGAGAGGGTGCAGATGGGCTGCGCAGTGCCTCCCGCTCTTCGACCTGAGTGAGATACTTGGCGGCAGAGTGGTTTGCTCCTGAGTCCCTTGGCCCAAAACTAGAAAGGCCAGGCTTCAGAGAGTGATAATAGTGTTGTATACCGAGAGAACCCGAATTGGGAGGTTTCCTCAGTTGCCCAAAAGATCCGGAAACATTTTGGGACCTTGACTGACAATGGACCAAACAGGGGAAACCAAAAGGTTAAAAGGTTGGCTTTGGACTAACTGAGTTTCTCATTGAAATGCAAGTAAAGGCGGTCGGTCGGTCCAGTTGCAACCAGTGACCGAAGACACGAGCCATTTCTCTTGGGGAGGTGACCCTGTTGAGTGGGTAAGCCACAAAAGAATCCGCTGATGCTCAGCAAGGACTGAGGGAACGAACCTGGAGATTGCCTTCAAAGAAAACCGGGGATGGTTTATAGGGGTCCTTTCTGAGCACGAGAGGGTGCCTGTGAAGTGGTTCTTTGGCTTTCGGATTAGGCCTCAAACCTGAGAATGAAGGCGTCGTTCTCTTATTTCCCTCCCAGGCGAATGAGCAAAAAACCTCAGCCACGATTTGCAGTTGCCAAAAAGGAACACAGAATAAATTCCCCAACGATCTAAGGGACATGTCAGGCCCACCAAAAACCAGCAACAACATATGCTGCTGGGAAAAGAAAATCAGTCTCTTTCAGAGTCCGTTGGGGTACATGGGACCAAGTGAGCACTGAAAGCTCCTTGCCCCTCCGTCTTTGAAAGGATCAGCTCTAACTTGCGCAAATTAATTTAGGGAGCAGGGTTTAGTAAGGAATAAATAAAAACATTTTCCCACGGCTTTTCGGGTTCTAACTCGAGGAACAAAGACCTCGTCATTTGCCATGGAAAACGGGGAGCACAGGTCTGCGGGAGTCCCCATTGAGCACAGACGGGAATGGGCTCCGTCTGATCCGAGCACCGGTGAAGGGAAACCACGGGCACCGTGCAAGTATTCAAACGTGGACAAATAAAATAATATATATATATATCTCTCTCTCTCTCTTTCTTGGTTTGGGGGTTTACTGGAAAACACCCTTAACCCAATAGCAGTCAAGATATGTGGTCGGTAGTCAAAGGGAAACCGAAGGGACACCAATTGTTTTCGGGGACTACCCTTTTTGGGGTGTGGCTGCAAAATAGGGCCCTCAAAAACGGAACCCATTGGAGCATGGAGAAGCCGACTCAGACCTCACAGGTTTGTCGACTCTTAAATTTGAGCCACACCGGTTCTGACCCCATATGCGAAAAAGCAAATCGATACAGCACAGCAGAGATAAATTGCTAGGCTGCGGGATGCCAGCTACCCTCTTTCCAACAACCATACAAGTGGACAAAGGGCTTCCCCAAAAGGATAGAAGTCTTCCAAAACCCTTCTGTCACCTTCCATGATGTTTGGCGGGATTGCAATTAAAAGCCCGAAGCCTCTTTTGGGATTGAGTTTAGGTTTTATTCCCTGCCAGTGTCTTGCCTTCCCCTTTTTTCCCCAGGGACTTCCTTTTGGAATGTTGAAAAGAACAATGGTTGAATGAGGGTTCAACCTCTGGAGATGATCTTTTCTCCGCCCATTTTTAACATCGACTGAGGTCCCGGGCACTTCTCTCAGAGTAGGGCACCAACGGCTCCTCTCTTCCGGATCGCTGCGTCATGTCGTTACGAGGTTTGGCTTCCCAAGGCATCCCCCGAAGCCGACAGGATCACAGGCTTAAAATGCGTCCCGGTACCTAAAGTTCGGCTTCCACAACTTCCTTGGAACTGTGTTCGAATACCAATTGTGTTTCCGCCAGCCGTGAAGCCCCATCTCCTTAGCTGGGTTTGCAAGGGGAACAAAGGCAAACAAAGCATCAAGCAACACTGGGTCCCTTCATGTGCTGGTTGGTTTTCCCGAACTAGCACGCAAGGAGCTGGATCATCCATGTACCTATGTGTGCCATGGTCAATACTTCTTTGTGTGGGTCATGGTCTCAGCATTGCGCCTACAAAATGCGATGCTCCAAAAGGTCTATGATACAAGCTCAAGTCAGCTTGGCTCATACATTATCTGCATATACCATTGCGGCTTAGAACACCCCGCTGCTTCATCCTCAACCACAGTCATTGCGGTATCCGCAGTGCCAAATCTCGAAGCCAAGAACAGACTCTTCTTATAGCAGCGCAGGATTCGGAGCCTCGCTGTCTTCAAGGCCCTCCTTCACTTTCAGCTGCTGCAATCTCGCCAGAAGATCACTGTAAGGGCGCTTCGCAACCATCTCACTTGGCACCAAGGTGAGAAAGAAATTATCAGAACTATCAGTGGCCAAACTTGGAGTGATGATGTACCTCTCCGGGCATGAACTGTGCGCCCCCAAGACATCAGCATGATGCGAGCTGTGCGGCCTGGAAGGAAAGGCGTAGACACGCCCATTGCACGTGATGAGCAAAGGTTTCAATTTTCCTCCACGCTTGCGCTTCATTCGTTCAACCCAAAGCCACACCGGATGTCATTGGGTTCTCCATCCTTGGCTTCCATTGGCTTAAAGGAGTGCACCGTGGCTATGAGCTTTAGCCGAATCTTGGCCATAGGTACACAGAACATTATATCTTCTGAGTCTGTTTCATATTTGTTCCAGCTTGCCCCCACAGAACGTTGGAGAGAAGGCCCAAGCTGAAGCTCAGGTCGCACAAACAACCGAGAGAAGTATCCCAATGTTCGCCCGACATCAGAACTTTACACATTTCTTGAGGACGTTCCGTTTGGGGACGTTCTGCTTTTGGGTTCCAATTTGCGCTGCAGCCAAGAAAACAGGATCGCGCTGAGTCCCCAGGAATTTTCGGGATATAGATCCATCTCCCTGTCCCTCCTTCGTCCGGACGGGGCAACTGATCCCAAGATGGCGCTCGAAGAAAGGAGGCAATCAGGAAGCCAACGCATATGAGCAACCCCTGTTACTCCTGATGTGTCAGCAAAACCGGTGTCCTTCGCAGACCCCCAACTGAAAACAAAGAGAACCAACACAAAAACACACAACACACACCGCACAGCAAGACCTCTAAAACGCCTTGTTTGGTGAGGGGCTTATCGAGGAAGTCACGTGTGCCAAGACTGTTTAACTCAACTTCCCTTGGTGGTTTCGATTGGTGGTTTGGTAGTGAAGGGGCTGCGCATCCCTTTACAAAAGCCAGGGGTTCAAATCCAAATCCAACCCACCAATCCGAACCACCAGTTGAGGGGTACCTGGTTTGGCCATGGGTCAAAATCCAAATCGTACCCCCAGTATCCCAATCCAACCACTAAAATAGGTTCTACAATGGGTGGTGAATTCACCCCCACCCAAAATGGGATCCCATGAATTCTGACCACCACGGCCATTTCAGAAGGGGCGCCTCTCAGCATCGTGACCCCAGACCAACAAAAAATCGATCGGCTCCTCTGGGCCCCGGGGGCCCAGGAAGCGCTGATGGTTCCTGCCCGCGAGACCCAGGGCGCCGATCGACCCGTTCAAAACCGATTCTCTTGGGCTCAAAACCGATTTGGCCCCTCCTGCGGTGAACATTGACTCTTCTTTGTCTGGGCTGTTCAAGATGGTTCGGGCTGGCCAATCCGTTTTTTCCATCTCTATAGGGAAGCCTTTTCAAAAGGGACCCCAAGGTAGTACAAAGGCGCACCTTTTGGGGCCATGACTAAAAGTAGGCCAAGATGGGGAAACAGAGAGGGTCAAAAAGTGGAGGTTTGGGCAAGTGCGTGTTTGGCTTCAGGATGTTTCAGTGTGTTGTCAAAATAGCCTCCAAACAGGGACCAGGAACGGAACCTGAGGTTGGATTACGTTTGTGCTTCGCACAAATCACAGTGGAACCCCTCCTGTTGATCAACCTGGAGGTTAAGTCCAACAGGAAAACCCCTGGTGCGTCTTAGGTGGTGCTGGATTTCGTCCATCCACAGTATGATTTGCGGGATGTCCCGCTTCATATTGTTTTTGCTTTCCCTGCGCTTGCCATGTGGTAGCAAGAAATGGCGGAAGCCCCATACACAGTGTTAGCTGTCTTATGACCTGTTGGAGTGGCTGGGTTGGAGTTGGTGTGGGCAGGTGGCATTACTCGCCGGCGGTCGGGGGGCTAGAGCCTGCACGCTGCTAGCTTAAAAAAAACATGTTGCCCGCGAAATTTAATTACATGTCGGACGCGGGCTCAATTCCCTGCACGTGAATTCCTCTCGCCGACAAAAAGGACGTGGTGCCATACTCTCACCCAAGCTCCGAGGTCCCGGGCGCAAAGCTGGAGCCCAAGCGCTCCAAATCCCCGGAGGCGGCTAAGCTGAGGACCACCGGTTCTGGCGACGAGCGCTGAAAAGCGCTCCGCGCGAGCCACCAGCGGGCCACCAAAACGGGCCCCGGGTTCAGGTGATTTGTTTGGGTTTAAAGATTTAATGAACCAGCTAATCCATCTGCAGTGTTTCACTGAATTCTCCAATCATGTTTGGACGTCTGGTCGAAGGTGAGAAAAACGGGGCCAACAGGCACCACAAGTTGATGAGTTGTGTGTTCTTGAGTTTGAGGACAAGCAACAAATAATTGAAAAGGTGGAGAACAAGACACGCAAAAACAACACAGGCAGGCAAAGATTTGCCCCAACCCTCAAACCCGCAACCCCTTCGCGCCTCTGGTGTCTACCTTGCGGAAGGACTGCTTCTGGCGAACCTGGACCTGACTTGCAAGGGATCCCCTAAGCGCGTGAGTGCCTTCACATGCAAAGAACCCTCATATGTTCGCGGCTTGCTGCCAGCCCAAGGAGTGTCGTCTAAGCCAATCTGGAGATGCCCTTTGTTACGTTCCCCTTTTCTCTCTCCAGAAAACACGCTCACTTGCCCAACGGACCAGGCATGAACAACGAAACAGAGCTGGAACCCGAACATCAAATTGGGAACCCGAACCGGGAAAACTAGTTTCTCAGGTCGGCTTACTAATTACGCGACTTCCCTACATCAGCCCGTTGCAACCAAAGCCCAGTGATTCCATTTGCCCAAAAACGTGAACCAAAGCACGCCCTCTAGAATCCAAGATAATGGCGAAGGGTCACCTGCTACGGCCGGAATCTGGCTGAAAGGGCTCTTGACCCTGGGTGCTTTCTCAGGTCCAAGTGCCGGAAACGCGCGCCACACCTAGCATAACTTTCCTACCCTTGGCACGCCAGCCAGAACCCTGAACAAAGGACCAGAACCGCACGAAGAAGTCAAAGCCATGTCGGACTTTGGGCCCTGGCAACAGGAAACGCAAAGACACAGTTCACAAATTCCCCTCATTGGTCATCGTTTAAACACTGGCAGTTTTCCGTGTCTGGGGCAACTCTTTTTGCTTTTGTTTTGTTTAACTCCATGAGACAATCCCACCAAAACGAGGGCAGCTTCCAGGGTTCAGGGCAGCTTTCAGGTTCACCTAAGCTGCTGAAACCACCTGGGCTTACTTTCCGCAGAAATATTGGCTCTTCCCCAAGGGCTCTCAACCACACAGCCACAAAACCACCAAACTTGTGGACACTTACGGTAGTTTAGAGGATTTCCTGCTCACTTACCTGCAAGATCCCGCTCCACTTGGGATGGGTGAAGCCAGGATCAGCCACCAATCCCAAGTGGCGTGCGGTTTGTCTGCGAAAGGGAGACGTACATGCAAAGGCTGAAGCCGAAACAGGGGAAAATCGTGCCTCTCAACAGGTCACTTGGCATGCCGCCGCTTTTTGCGGTTGTAAACCCAAGCCCAACTTACTACATCCTCATGAACCGAACCCGGCCAAGTGATGATCTGAATCCGTAGGACCTTGGCCAGAAGCTATTATGGATCACTTCCCACTTGGGGAACCAACTCCTTCAGAGTGATGCAACATTAACATGACATTCCCCTCTTTCCCCGGATCACCGGAACCGCGGCCCCCGGCCGGAAGCATGGCTCTTTGCCCCAAACCGTCTGCTTGAGCACAGGGCAGCAAATTTGGGCAAAGGCCAGTTGAAAGATGGCACGACCTCCTCGTGCTCTTGCTGCTGCTTTTACCGCTCAGTTGCCCAAAGGCCTTGAACCAAGGTTGACCTTTTGGGAGCTTGACTATAGGAATGGTTGCCAACAAGGAAAACACAAAGGTGAACAGGTCGGCTGTGGACAGCTGAGATCATTGTCGCTAGTGATGGAGATGAAGGGGACGGTGCCATCGCCTTCCACGTGGACTTGCAGGTTCGGTTGTTTAGCTTCTTGTCCAATCATGGAAGTGGACAAGAGGGCTTTGAAAGACTACCATTATCTTGAAAAGGTCGTTTCTCAACTTCTTTGGCTCCAAGGGAAAAACGAGCATGATAAAGGGAAAATGCTCTCTATCTTCCCCCCTTCAAGCATTACCCCTCCAAGAGGAAGCTCGCCGAAAACCGGTTGCAAGCAGGTGGGAATGACAACCACAAGAGGAAGTATGGGGAGACCAGCCATCTTAGCCGCCTCTGTTTGCTGCAAGCTCCTGACTGGGGTTTACCGGGCTGCTAACCCTTTTGGCAAAAAAAACCCTTCTGCGGGCAGAGCTGCGAACTTGCCGATGATGAAAGTCCGCCGAGCGCAAGCCACAAGATTGCGACTTTTAACTCGCCGATGCAACTCCAGGATGCTGAGTTCATGGATGTGCAATCCGCACACATTACAAGGGTCAGTATTTTACCTTGTTGCAGTCACCCCTCTAAGAAGCAGGTTTAAGGAAACAAGTTTCTTCTTACCACTGTTAGGGTCACGCCTGTAAGTAGTAGGAAGGGACAAATCTCCGGTTTCTGACTTTGATCATCCTTGTTGGGGATCCCAAAAAATAAGTGGCCTTCTGGGAATGCGCGGTTTTGACTCCCGGAGCCAAACCGCGTAAATCCGAAACACATCTGAAGCCTGGGTCCAATGAAGATTCTGACAGTTGCCTCCTGGCAATTGGTGGCTTTAAGTGAAACACCCACCCAACAAGTAGTTCTCAAAGAGTTCACTTCACCCAACCGGGTCCTGGGGCTTTGGTATGGAGAACGAGGTCCGTACTGGGAGTCAAAAGGACCAATGTTGGGGCCCCATCTTCCATCAGGACCCGAAGACCTCCAGCTCCCTTCGGCTAGGCGCCCAGGATGGCTTGCCAAAGTTTGGCCGGCCGTTCATTTTCCGGTGAAACCCGGCGTCGTGGGTGCTAAAAGTGTTCCAGAAAACAGTGAGAAATGGGGTTGCCTCAATCAAACAATAGTAACTCGAACCCCCCCAACATTTGCTGTACTTTTGCTTCTCTTCAAAGCCACACCAAAAAGGTACCGAGCCTCAAGAAGACGTATATCGATGCATCAAAGTAAAGCCGATCTACCCATTTAGCACCCAGTCAAATGAATTCTGCGTGGTGCCGGTGCGCGCCCCACTTCCTAACAGCCTACTACGTTCCGCGGAAATGCGGACTGTCAGTTCCTCGGATCGCGGACAGCCTCTTGAGAATGGGTGGTTTGGGTCGGAGGTCGGGGATGGGTTGGGGATCCTCTATGGCAGTGAACAAATTTCAAGCTGGCGTACAAGACCGAGTTGAGTCACGCTCATGTAATTCCTAACCCCTACATTGCAGACCAGACCGTCTTTGTTGTGAGGGTCCGGTGCTGAGGCACTGCCATTTCTCCGCACAGAGGTCTGCTCCATTTGCGAGGGCCCGCAAGTTGCCACGGGAAATTGGAGCCTTAAGGAAAAATTTATTCCACAGTGGGGTTCTGGGAGCTTCGTCTCCGGAAAAGCAAGCAGTCCAGAGCTGGTCGCTAAAACTTGTTTGACAAACCCCACGCGGACGCACTCAGGGGAGAAGTAAGCAAAACGGTTCAAGCAGGGGTTTAACCACCCAGGGAAGACCAATTCCAAACACCTCAAAGTATCCCCCCTCCCCCCAAACACAAACATCAAACAATAACATACAACAATGGTCAGGTTCAGACCCTGCTCCAAGTTGATACACCGTCTAATGTTAAACGTTTTCAGAAGAATCACCACAACATACCACAGCTTGGCCAAGTCAAATATTCCACAGTCATCAATTTAGGCCAAAGGCAAAGATGTCTCACCTACACAATGTTCACCCAAACAGCTCAACAAAGAAACCAAACAGTAAACCTCAACTGGGCCACCGAATGCTTGGTTTCAAGAAGACATAGCAACCTCCTAAACTCAGCTCCTAAGTGGATTGGCCAGAACGCCAGAACAAGTCCAATATTTGTCATCACCACCAAAATTGTCTTACCGAAAAGTATGAAGTCTAGGAGCTCAGGGAGTGAGCAAAATCCAACATTTCCACTAGAATTGTCGTCCCAAAAAGTGTAAAGTCCAAGACATTTGCGAGTGAGTTGACAAGCCCTCCGCTCCAGCTTGCTCTGAGCTTTCGGCCCGCCCTGCCGCCCCATCAACTCGCGCAGTGCTGCAGCGGTGTGTCCTGCATGGCCTCATGACTTGGTCTGAGGGCAGTCACGATTAGGATACAATGGCAACCCTTGCAATGGCTCTGAAATCCCTGAATCAGTATATGAGAGAAAGTGTGAATGTGTGCTGCGGCTACGTGAAGGTTGCCATCATGAGCTTTTCCTTAAACAACACTAGAACCGCCAAATTCGGAATGATGTCAGGAAAGCGAACAGGAAACCGGAGGCCAGGGATTTTTGGGTGATGCTTAAAAAAAGCGGCCCAAAAAGTATCCCAACAGGGTCCCCCGATTTCTGCGGAGTATTCGTGCGGGCTCGCCTTGATGTGCGCGCAGCTTTTGCAGCACCTGAGCCGAGCCTCGGGTGATGCGCATGCCGCACATCATGCGACGTGCCATCGGCAACCGGCATGGTGGAGAACTTTGCTTCAAGCAAACATATATGAGCGATCATGTGGGTTTGGTTAAACAATCATGAGGTGGAATAGCGACTAAATAGGCGGAAGGTGACAAACTGCGTTCTTTGCAGCAACTGGACAGAACCCAACGAACGACCGAATCTGGGACTCTAAGCACGTACGCGACCTTTGGGCAGTTGGGGGTGGTCAAATAAGAAACAGAAACACAGCAACAACTTGTGAACGCAACATTCATGAAGTGAACAAAACCCGCCATTCCTCGGCCTCGCTCCAGATGGGCGTGGAAGGAACCATGATCTCAAGCTTCCTCAAAAACAGAACCCAACAGTTGAAACAAAGCTTCCCTTTGCTCAAGTCCCCTGGAAAAATGAAAATATGTCCAGCACTGATGGTTTTTTCTGTAACACCAGCAAGGGAATACACACACACACAAATTCCCAAGCAAAGGAAACAAATCCAGCGGTGATAGTTCCTCTTTAATCCAACAAGAGAAAATAAAACTCATTCTCAAGCAGATGGAAGAGAATGACCAGAACCGGGAAGCCCTGCATAACTCAGGTCTTAGGCCGCGGCTCAACATGGGGAACCTCTCCTTCAAGCGCTCGAACCGCTCCTTCCACTCCTCCTCCCCGGACCGAAGCTCGGTGCCGCCTGCGTCGACCGAGCCGGGTCTCATTCTGAGGGCTTCTTGGTTTTGGTGGCTTTAAAGAGAGGCCAAAAGGAAAACCACAATTTTGGGACCCCCTTAAAAAAAGAGGAAGGCCCCCGCACCAAAAAACACGCAAGCCCTCAAGCCCCCTTGAAAAAAGACAACTGAAAGGCGAATACATAGTGGGTGCAACAAAGGGCATATCAGCATCTTGCTTTTGGCGAACTCCAGGAGTAAAACCACCTTGGCGTGGGTCCGTTACGTGGGGCTTGAGTTGCTTTCATGTTTTGGAAGTATCCCAGACTTGCAGCCCGGTGTCTCTCTCAATGGCAACCCATGTACTCACGTTTTGGACGGACTCAGCCATGCAGTCCAGAAGCTTCGGAGAGCGCCATTCCGCAAGTACCAGTCGGCTCCTGGTTCTTGTTGGTGTCCCCGTCTACCCGACTTCCAAGGTTTTGGTCTCTCACGTTGATAAAAGTGAGAGTTTGTGAACATGCCCTGATTTCAGGCATGGGCATGGCAGTCGTTCCCGGCGAGGGTCCAATGTGGTTTGGTACAGCTTTATCCCCAAGCGCATTTCCAGAGATGAGGGAGCCCACAAACAGTTTGGATCATTTCCCCTGTTCCCAACCCCAAAACATCTCCGGATTCTTGACCGCGTGGATTTGGAGAAACAGACTTTCGCTAACCCTCCTGCACAACTGTCAAACAAAACCCCTTGTACATCAGCAAAGGCCCTCGTCCTTTGTAGACCCAACATGCACAGAACCCAAAACCACACAACCAACCAAAGAACATCATCACATCCTTTCTTTTGTTTTTCCATTTTTTTGTTTTTATCTCTCTCGCTCTCTCTCTCTCTCTCTCGCTCTCTCTCCCGTTGCGTCCGGAGAACAAATACCACGAACGGCGGGCTTTCAACCACAAGCGCTTTCCTCGCCTGAGCTGGCCACTTCGGGCACCGAAACCTTCTCCTTGCGTAGGAAAGTAAAGAGCCCTGATGTGGAAGATAATGTTAACCACTGGAAATAGGAAGCTACCCATTTTGCCGGGAATCGTGGGACCAACCTGCGTGGCTGTTATTTTGCGTATACATTTTTTGAGCGCACTTAGGCATGGCTGGTGAACAGAATAATCGTAACCCCGAATTCAGCAGCACCCCTGCGCGACTTAGGCCAAAAGAGCCATGAGGTAGAAAGGTCGCTTTGCGTCTGGCAACTGAACACGTGGCTCCGGGGTCTTGCGTGGTCGTTGCCTTTTTTTCCCGTGGGGCTTGCCAAGTAACAGCAGGCCTGGGCCGGATTCGACCCCCCCCCCCTCGGTGGCTTGGATTGGTGGTTTGCTGGTGTTCCGGGCCGGGAAACCCTTTTTTTACCCACAACTAGGGCTTCAAACCCAAACCCGATCCAAACCACCAACTAACAAAGAACAAAACAAATACCACCACCGCCACAACCAAATACCTGACAGGAAATTGAAGACCAACCACAGAATTCCAGACGCCAAGTCTTGGCTCCAGGGCACCAAGTCGTGTCTCTGCTTTCTTGGTCTTTGGACCTAACTGGGAAAACGAATATAATGACCTCACATAAATCCCAAGAATCGCGCGGAAACAGTACCCAAATCCCACATGGCCAACGCCACGGTTTGCTAAAAGTTAGACTTCCCTTGGTAGAAGCTTCGCACTGGAAGTTTCGTACTGGGACTACGCGAGACGCTCCAAGCATGCATGCACCTGCGCGTGATCTGGAGCACCGCAGGTGAAAAAGCTGAACATCGCGAGACTGCGGAAATTTGGAAAACAAGCTCCAGCCCAACCCGTATCCATGGTTGTCAATGGGCGCCCGTGGGAATCATTGGCAACCGATAGGGCGTGGTGGGGTGCATCGATTTTCAGCTTCCCGCTCATTGATGGTTTGGATTGGTGGCGAGGTGTTCCGCACGCGGGGGTTCCCATTTGCCCTCTTTACAACCAGGAGGCCTAGTCCCAAACCAATCCAAAGCGCCAATGAAATGGTTGTCTAATCGTAGGTACACTCACTTCCTGAGAGGGTTGGCCGCAAAGAGTCCAAACTTCTTGGGACAGCTGCTCAAATGGTCTTCGCCAAAAAGTATCAAGTCCGTAAACTGAGCGAGCATAGAAATGGTCAACGGCCATATTCACCTGCCTTCGATGTGGTTGGTTCCCCTGCTGTTTTTTTCTCGGGCATAGCAAGGCCGCGATGATACTTGTGCACCTCAAGCTTCACATGAGCCCATGTTTCAGGAAACATCGCAGGGACGGATGTACTGTGAGTTACTTATGGGGGCACCAAAACATGTTGTTCGAACCCGTGGTTGGCCATATTATGCTAAAACCATAAGGGAGAATGCGGGCTAGCAAAAAGAGGTTGTGGGGCTCAAAAACCCAGAAGAACCTTAACCCCTTCGATCTCAAGGCAAATGCGGCGACCACCAGCTTTGCGAGCCTTAAGCCAGTCTTCCCTTCGGCCCCTGAAATGGAAGCAATGACTTGAACGAGGCCGGCCCCTTGCCGAAGCCAGGCAGGAACCCAAACGCCATTCCAAAAGGAGCCTTCCATTTGATCAGCATTCAAACTCTCTTGCGAAGGCAAGCCCACTCCGACATAAGCCTTCCGTTTGTCGCTTAAACCTCAAACGGGCAGGGGGAACGCGGGGCACTGCTCTGGCATTCTCAGTTGAATTTCAGGGTCGGCCTCCTTTGGCCGCTTCTCTCGCCTGCGGGCCGCAAGACCCCTTTTCTCGCTTCCCGAACGAGTGGACTGGCCGAAAAAAGGTCGCACACTTATCAGTTTGCCACTGAAATGGTCTTGCCAAAACGTGACTAAAGTGCATGAACTCGGGGAGTGAGCAAAAGCGCAACCCGGGCCAGCACTCCCTGCTGGACCAACTGAAATCACCGCGCTTGGGGCTAGAACAAGCTCACATATAAGCATAGGACAGGCGGGAACCTCAGCCCCGCCCCAACCCCGGACATCTTCTCACCTGGTCAACCTGAGTAAGCCCGAACAGGACTGATTCCATACTGTGAATGGTTGCGACATCCACACAAGCAAAGCAAAATGAAACCATGGTTGAAACCATAACGTGTGTTGGCAGTTCCGTTTGGGAATCACATTTTTGCTGGGCTTTTGAAGGCTGGTGCGAGAAGCGGATTTTGCAACCACAGACTGGGGCTGAAAAATCTCGATCGCACAGATCACCCCATAAAAACCGAAGGAACCAAACCAACTTCACCGCGGGGGAAGCCAGCCATTTGTGCCCCATGGAAAAATGGGGTCGTGATGGCACGAATATGGATTTGCCCCTTTGGCCTTTTGCTTTCTTGGAGGAACGCAGCGGCAAGAACAGGGAAACCCAACTAAAAGCACAACACGCGCAGTCGTGGGGGTCAGCCGTGCTTGAGACCAAAAGGCTGCCCCACACTTTCCGCGATTCCGGGCGATCCGCAAACGCCCGCCTGGCAGCAGAGTGAGCGGCTCCTGATGCTGAGTGATAGGATGTGGGAGCTTGTTTCTTGAGTGCCAAGCAAAGAACTGCTGGTGGCCCAGTCTCTTGACTGGCGTACACCTGGAAGATGAGCGGTTTCTTGCAGGGGGCATCTCCATGGCATGGCATGCAATGGCGTTTTGTGGGTTTATCAGGTCGATTTGGGCTGGGGCCACCTCTGAAAACTGCCAGGTACGAGCATCTTGCATTGGCCTATGGTAAGGCACTCTTAAAACAGGTTGGCGCAAGGGGGCCCAGTCTCAAGTGGGAAGAGCATTGACAATGAACTCCCGACCGCGTCCTGCGGCACGAGGTTCCTCCTCCTGGGCGAGAGGCAAACGAGATCTTCAGGAAGATACCACTGGGCAACCTACTGTGGATGGACGAAAACAGTTCGCACCACTTTGAAACCATAGCAAGGCATTGTTTGTTGGTATTTACAGGGGGGGATCATCATTGCAGGGCTTCTTACGTGGTGCGAAATGGATTTCGTCCATCCACAGTATGTGCTGAAGAACCGGACTCTAGGCCCTTGAGCACCAAAGTCTGAGATGGTTTCCACCCAAGGGAAATCAAGGTGATACCCTTTGCATAGTGGTATGGTGGTTGTATACCGGAGGCTTTTTTGGGGGGGCGGTTTGGGGGGGTAGTGGGCATGGACAAGGGAGCTGTTGAAGCGCGCCATGTTAAACCTGGGGTCACCCAACCCTGCACGACCGCTGAGCGCCCCAAGCCTTATCCGGGCCTGTGGTGGCTTCGGTACCTTTGTTAGAGGCTCCAGACAAGGTTGGACCCCCCCTAATTTTATCAGATAAAATAGGGTGAGTCCATCCTTATTGGAAAATAAACCTGAAATAGTCTAACTCCGACAGAACATAAATTGACAAATCACAATTTATGTTGACCTCATTTGGGAGGTTTGGTTTGAACAGTCCAAGTTGGACAACACGTATTTCATTGTATTTCTTGATGAAAGTAAAGTCAAGGGGGTCCAACTCATGTTTATTTTGCAAACCCGCTTTTTCACAAAATAAAGTTGGGGGGGGGGTCAACTCGGTAAAGGAGCTAGAAATAAAACGTTAACCTTTGAGGGCCACGACTAAACATGGACGAACATAGGGAAACCAACAAGACAACAGGTCGATTCTTTGGGCAAGTGAGGAAAAGAGTTCAACAACCCATTCAACCAGTGCAAAATATTCAACTATCCTTTTTCTCCTCGCAATTTCAATGTTATGTCCCCCAAAGCGTGGGCCAGAAAGAAGCACGGGGGCAGAAAGCTGCGTGGCGCTGGTGCAAATGGAGCATAATGGGGGCTTCGGGGGGCTGGAAAACCCAGTGGATCTCGAAAGCGTCGCATTTGTCATAGGTGTCTCTCGGCTTCCCTGATATTGCCCCTCTTGTTTTCCTCGAAGCCCTAGTGCTTGAAGGATATTTCAAGGGCCGAATGATGGAAGGGGGTTGTGGGGTCTGTGGGGTCGGACATTGAAACCAATATCAGGAATAATCTTCCAATTTTGGGCACTCATCTTCCAGGCATCGTCTCAAAGCTTCGCAATGAAACACTACCTCACGAGAATAGAAGACTCGTTTTGAATGGGCCCATATGGTGATGTGTAAGGTTCATCAGGGCAAATTCATGATTTGGACATCTGGAAGTAAGCTCAGGTGATATCCCCAACAGCATGCGGTGCCAATAGTATTGCTCGCAGCCCTCGCAGAACCTCGTGGAACGCTGGTGGAACCCTGGTGGAACGCTGGTGGAACTGTCGTGGAACCCTACCTGGACCACCCCTATCTGGGCTGAGACCCCAAAGCCTTCAGCTGTTGGGGAATTTGCCTTTCAAAAAAACATATGATGCTTCGGTTTTCCTTTTACCGCCTTTAGAAGCCACGAAGCAAGGGGTACCAACCCCAAAAACGACGACACCCTCCCTGCCAGGACCCTTGCGGGTTGGAGAAGCAGCTTGCCCCGGGCGTCATGCACTGGCAACCAGCCTGACGGACAGCGAGCGGAGTGGGTAGGGGCACTGGGTCCCGGCAACAGGGTTTGTCTCAAACACCAACCTTTTTTGTCTTGCCAAGTGAGGGCGCTCCGCTTTGAGGCTTTGAGGGAGGGGGGACAAGCAAGTCCTGATAAAACGGACTCGAAACACAAACCTCCAAAATACAAGAGGCCCAGGGGAAACCATCCTGTGGACGGCTGTGACATATTGCACCGTGCAGAAACCATCGCTGGCACCATGTCGTTTGTTGGTATCGTCGAGGAATCAAACATGTTCTTGGGTTTTTTGATGGTAGTGCGAAATGAATTTCGTCCATGCACAGTGGGTGGGCTTCTAAAATAGGTGGGTTTCCTTTTGCAAACCCACCCCAAAAAGGGGACACCCAATCAAACACAGGTGTGGAAACTAGGGTAAATCCAGCAAAAGCAGGCCATGCGGCCCAGAGGCTTTGGAACATCTATGAGCAATGAATCTATGCAAGTCAGCACATCGGGCAAGGTGGTCATTTTGAAAACACTCATTATTCCGTGGGGTTTGCCTTAAAGATTCCTATGCTTTCCTGTGGCCAGGGTTCCGCCGACAACCTTTTGCTTCTTGTCACCAGTGTGAAACATCAAGGGGGTGATTCGGATTCGGGGAACTAAGCCATTTCTGTGACAAAAGTGGGCAATCCCTATGACAAACTCGTGCTTTTGAAAGAGATTCTCTGGCATCACAGAGAGAACACAGCCGCCTGAGTTTCAATGACATGATTCCAAGAAAAGGGTTCCCTCCCTCAGACAGGACTGCGACTTGAGACTTGGACGTTGGACCTAACACTATATTGTTCGGCCTTGACGCAGGCGTCCGCTTACAGAATTGGGGGCAAGGTAGGGTCCCTCGGTTTCATTCAAACTACTCAGGTAGCAGACCAAATCCATAGGCACACTTAGCACGCATTACTAATTACGGGACTTTCCAGGACACCATTAATAATAGCCATGTGCAAGCTGTTACTCACTATGTAACATTCCTGAATTTCTCACACCCAACAAGTCTTCCGCAAAGCTCCTTTGGACCCTGCCATTCTTAGACCTCAGTCGCAACTCGCTGATGGGCCCCTTGCCTCTGTCGGTCTTGACCCACTGCTCCAGCACAGTGACCTCAGCCGAGCAACTGGATTACTAAGCAAGAAGGATCACTGAGGGTTCCACTGAACAACTGGCACAACGTCCGCACTTGGGGTGTTCTTGACATGGCATTCGTGCCAACATCGGAATACCTTAACTCATCGGACGGCAGGAAATCAGATGCGCCGCAACCGTACGTCAAGCCGGAACCGAGGATCAACTTCTCTGCCGTGAAGTGTTTTCAGGCCTTCGGTGGCACCACTAGGTAAACAAATGCCGAAGAAATGCCGAAGAAATCTCAACCAGCAACCAATGTCCCGGTGACCCTGTTGGAAAAACTGTGGACGCTGTTTAGGCTATCATAGTTCAAAGCCATGAAACAGGATTGGAACCCTTTGCTGGGATGATTCCCTTTGTAGCGGTGAGAAACAGCAAAGTGACTTCGAGGGTGTGATGGGATCAAGCAATTCCAACCGCCAAAACCCGGCATACCTGGAAAGCCCGGCGGTGCTGAATTTATGCCGCTGATTGAAAATGCACCATTTTTCGCCGTTGCTGCAAAAAAACGCTTTTTGTCCCCCAAAACGCCGTTGGAGCAATTCGTCAATATTCAAGGACTGCCGTCAACGGCCAAAAACGCCGTTTGATCGCCAAAAAACGCCGTTTGATTCGCGAAAAAACGTCGTTGGTCAAAATCAGTCGACCAGCTTGACCTTGCAAAAAGTCAGTTTCCCCCAAAAACGCCTGGAGGCAGAAATTCATGTTCCCAGACAGAAAAAGCGGTTTTCGTTCAAAAGGCGGACATTTTACACACCTTGGGATTCCCAGGTATGGCAGTGACTTGCGGTGTTCACCAGCTTCCAGTTTGGTGATTGGGGTGGTTTCCCATGTAGATTCAAATCCCCAAAACACCAGCCCCCCGAACTTGTGCACCTACTTGCAATACTTGGGGCACCCTTGCCTCCAAAACTAACACCCATCCCTTCCGGGGAAGGGGGGGCAATCCCTCCGCCGATTCCACACAGCCGCAACCTCGCCGCAACCTCGCCCGGAAACCTTTGTTTATTGGTATTTACGTTGGGAAATCGAATCATTCCAGGGATATTGAACGGTGGTGCGCAGCCATCCACAGTAGGGGGACCTCCAAAATGGGTGGGATTGCTTTTCCAAATCCACCCCAAAAAGGCAAGACACGGCTGAGGCAACTAGGGTAAATCCGTCAAAATCAGGAGGAGACCCCAACAAAGTCTGTTAATTTCCGCAGCTTCAGGCTCGGACTACCTCGCCGGCTGGAACGTTGGCGTCCGCTCGGTCGTTGAAGTCCGGGGACTTTCTGACGCGTCAGAAACAATGGACCAAGCACCGGTCCCTACATTTCAGCCTATAAGTTTTCTGGTTGCCACGCTCAGATAGGTTTCCTTCTGGTGGGTGAACCCTGTCCTGATGTTTCACCAGTCCCCTGATCTTGGCCGACATCCGGGGCATACAGAAACTATGATGTTCAAATGTTGTCTCATTTTTTGCCGATATTTGGAGAAGACCCAAAAAAATCCCCCGCACCCCCCTCAAACCATGAAGTCCTTATTTCGCCTCATGCCAAAGCTCCGCGCCGTCACCTGGATAGCCCAGGCTTGGATTGGCGGTGAGTCAACCTAAACATGGGCTTACCCGTGTTTTCCTCATGTGCCCCTTGGGGATAGAAATGACACCTTATCCTTTTGGGGCCTGTACTGAAAGTGGTTGCCAACAAGGACAAACAAAAGTCAAAAGCTCGAGTCGCTTTGGACAAATTCTGCTTCGCATTGGCTCCTTGTAAAGGAAAAACATGTCTTCCAGGAACCTCCCCCCCCCCAGCGAGGTTCCACGCTTGCGGATGGGAGGGTAGTCCACCCTAAACTCAAAATCGGTGGAGTCTCCGGCGCCCGGCCTCCACGAGATGCCATGCGGAGCGATGACGCGAAAGGACCGCCCTGGGGACTGCGAAAACGGCCAGTCGTTCTCCCCACCGGGCCGCTGTAGGTTTATGGCCCCGAACAGAGCCAACAGTCAGCGCCTCTTTAGCGGCAAAGCGGGGGTCGTTGGACTTGGACTTGCCAACACTTAATGCCAACTCTAGATTTAGTACTGCCAAGACCTACGTCCAATTTAACCCTCTAAAGGCCTTACTTAGATTTCGGAATTCCTGTATAGCCCCCAAACCATTCAACTTTTGTATAGATTCCTTGTTCAAAACCAGGGCCAAACAGACAGACAAGGGGATGGGCCCCACAATCTGACTGTTTCAAGAGTCGCTTGAATGTCAAGCTTGTTTTGGGCGGGTGTACCATTGCGGAATCACGCCAGAACCTGGTGCACGGCAATTTTCGCAACGCTGTAGATTCTTTCCTGCCCCCGCCCCCCAGTGGTATTGAATCAAACAACCAACAAGCTTCTAATCATGGTTTCAGCAGGGGGCTGAAGCACTGTTCAGTAGTACCCTCTAACTCAGCTTTTTGGTTGGGTTTTTAAGTGGAGGGTGGGCCCGGCTATAATACACCCGCATTTAGAACTTTATACTTCAACCAAGGGCAACCAAGTATATCGCTTAATAAGATACCAAACAAAACAGAGTGCCTTTTTGCCACGTGGCCTTATACATAGCCCTACAGCCCAGCAAACCTTCTTTAGGCCGCGGCCTTTGTATTGTCGGACCCACTTTAAATCTTAGCACCTCTTGTGTTGCAAGTGATTGTCCTTACTCAGGATCCGTGGCTGTCTCGGGAGTCACTAACAGAACGTGTTGTTTGTTTATGAAAAAAGTGTTTGTGCAAAGCAAACAAACATACCAGATCAAAACCACCCTTTAACCGTCATTGCTGAGGCTTGCTGGATTTGTTTTCGCACCATGGTCTAACATCCAACTATCCAAACTGCAAGCGAAGGGCATTTTGAACCCTTCGCTGTACCTCTGGGTGCTGGTTTGGTTTGGACACAAATTCGTGGGAACGGAAACGGGTCCCACTTGGCTTCAAAGGAACTGGGGTGAAACAAAAATCCAGTCACCAATCCAAACCAACGAAGGGGCACCTGAACTGAAGCCGCATGCCTGGGCCCAACTCACAGCAATTCTCTCAGGTTCTGCCTCAATTTAGTCGAATGAGTTTTATTTTTGGAGGAGACAACAGGGTACAGGACAAATAACATCTTCAACGGCTTTCAACTTTTCTGCCCCATGGCTTCACATATCGCCAAACCCAATAAATAGCATTCGTCTCAAAATGAGGGACCTTCAAAATTACTTTCCCTTCAAAGACAACCAACCTTGCTGGCGCGATAGGCAGGGAATGACCTTCCAGGTGTTGGGAATGAACCGGAAGGGGATTCCCGAAACAACGAAACCATAGGGCATTTTTGTTTTGCGGGGTCATTCCATTTCTGCTATTGCGAATCGACCTCTTGAAGCAATTAAGCCTTGCCTGGAGTCTCCATGACCCTTTCAAAATGGGTCCCTGACCCCATTATTTAGGGTAATGACCCCATTCAAGGGGGGACTCTTGGCATACCATGACAAAAGGATGCCCAAAAAGACGGCAGCCGTGGGCCTTTGGGCGATCCCGAGGCCCGCTTCGGAGACGGGCCCCGCGGCGCCTCAAGGCGAGAGGCGCGGATGTGTTCGGCCGAACGAAGGACGTGTGGCGTTTCAACCAGCTGGAACCAAGCACCTGCAGGACGTTAACCAGGGGGGTCTTTTTGCCACCTTTTGTGAGCCAATTTTTGCGACCCCTTCAAAAAGGAATCCTGCACTACAAGGGGGTCGACCATTGTTCCACCAAAGGTGGCAAAAAAGAGCCCCTTGACATTAGCAAAGAAGCAGTACACGCATCTAGCGAGCATTTGGCGAAGTTCCTGAACCATATCCTGCAGCTGGCTTCTAGAAAAGCATGGGGTTTGGAGCTGTGTGAAGGTTGATCTACCACAAAAAGGCTTGTTGGACAAATGGTCCATAACCTCCGAACCTTCCTCGGAGCCTTAAGGCCCGGCAAAGGTGCTCCCGTTGAAACGCAGTGCAGATGAGGCTCTCGACAAACCCCCAAAATGAATGGAGCCCAAAATGGAAGTAGACTAAAGCCCACAGTGTTTGGCTCTGAACATTTGAGCCGCACCCAAATTGGAAACCACGTTGGTGGCTTTGTTGGCGACTTTTTGGCTTGATCTCAGTGTCCCCCATGGAAAGCCAATTTCGCCCGGCTTTCACGCGAGCGATTCCCCTCAAGCCTGGCTAACATGTTCCTGTTCAAAGCGCATTGATCACTTGACAGGCAACGTGGAACGCTCGCTCTCAGCAGGATAATATGGGAAGAAACCGCGGACCAACTACAAGTGCTCCCTATGGCTTTCGATTCGGAAATGCACGGTTATAAGTTTGCGCTGGCTAGCAAACGGCAAACCCGTCTTTTCAGCGCGGGTCCTGTGGTTGCAGGCGAGTTACCCTCCCACAAACACGCTTTGCTACACCTGTCTCTCTTATTGGAAGGCCACTTTCTAGTTGGAAAGGGGCGCGCTGCACTTGCATGTCCAGGGGGAGGGAGAGTCAAAATCGTCCCGTCCTCAAACATGGCACCTGGCTCAAGGGTCCTGGAAGTCTATTTCCCTTTAAAAGGGACCCTGTGTGGGTTCCATATTTGTGAACAGGAGGGTACTTTTTCTGATGTGTACCTTACATACCCTGACGTGTCATTTTGGAGACCCCAGAAACCCTCACCCAAAGGCATTCGACGCAAACAGCACGAGCGCGCCTTGTCTTGCCTCTCCGGCTCCGGGTTATCGGGCTTCACATCCTCCGACCTTAAGCAGGACATCCCTCTTACAACACACCACCCAAACACAGACCTCTTGGAAACTTTGACATGAGTCAGGAAGCCACCCGTAAGCCGCAATGGACCGTGTCCAGACATGTTACTGCATAGAAATCGGGCAACCCGGCATCGGACGGCGAACGGAAGCTGGCAAATAGTCTGCGGCGTTTTGGTCATGTACAGGCTCAGCATCCGCTTGAAGCCCGAAGGACAAGCAACCCAAACGGAAGGTATGACGGGCTGTATGAAATATAGCCTTGCAATGCCAAGATTTGCCCTGCCCAGGACTAGCGTATCTCTTCTTAACAGCGAACGCTCAATCACTAGCCCTTCCCGGCCCAAATGGTTGCTCCTGGGGACGTCACACGTGTCCGCGTGACAGACCGACATCGAAGCTGCGGAATGCCGGGGCAGCGACTTTCAGGAGCCTTTAAACAACTTCCCTTCGATGCCCCTTGCAAGAAAGGGTCTTATTGCGGGGGGGTGGGGGTGGTCTTTCGATTTTACCTTCCCGGCCTTCCCAAATGCAAGCAGAAAGAACGCGACCGCCGGGCAAAGCCTTCAGTTCAGGCACCTTGACAGAAAGTCTGCTTTTCTTGCGCAAGAATGGCAATATTTTCACTTGGGTGCGTTGCTTTGCACGAGCTTGTGGGATATGTCCCAAATGTATGGCACTCCTCTAAACGCTAACCGTCTATTGCTGGGAACCGCAACGCTGAGGGGACGGTGGCCACAGGGAGGATGATGAAGACTCCGGGTCCCGCGCAGGTTCGGAGCCTTTTCTTTTAGCACCTCAGCCGTGACATAAAAGACCCATCAGTTCTGCTAACATGGTTGCAAAGGTTTACCAAGTGTGCCTTTGACAGGGCCCCTGTTGAGTCTGTGTAAATCCAAAAGGAAAACCACATGGTCGGGTTGGAGCCCTCTCTATCTTAACACATACCCGTCTTTGCTTTGTTTGGTAGTGTCTGCAACATACCAAAGAAGCTCAAGAAGTATTCCCAACTGCCATGATCCCTTGTCTTTAAATGTTTTTCCTCTTTTTTTTTGGGGGGGGGGGCTCGGTCTTCTGATTCCAAACGCAAATTCACATTTGTTTTCAAAACGTCAGCCCTGACCAACAGCCTCAGAACCTCCCGCAAAACAGCCCCAAACTCAGGCATTGCGAATCGACCCCATAGCCACCGTCAAGAAACACTGGTGAAAAGCACGCCGTTGCTTCCCTAAATTTATGATTGTCCTTGTGGGCCCCTTTCACACCAACCCCAACAAGGGTACTCCCCACAAACACACACCCATGTGTTTCAATATGGGTGCGCTACAGATACGGAGAGTTCCAAAAACAAACGTGGGACATTCGCCTTTTTGCAGTCCACACTCTCACATTGCCACGAAAACGTAAGGAAGAGATGCACTTCACCTCCTTTCTCCTGCAAAATCAATCTAAGGCTTTGCTGAAGCCTCTGGACGACGGCAAAGCCTGTCCCAAGGGAAGGCTTGGTCCCATGGAAGGTCCCAACGAAGGCGAGCGATCGCGGGTCAAAGCCATGCAAAAGGGAACCTTGAAGATGAGCTAGTCCCCTTACCCAAACCTCCAGTGGCCAAGGCGAAAAATGGACCTGTCAGGGTCAAGCCCCCCTATCAGTGGAGAAGGGCCCATTGGATGGGTGCAAGTGGCACCCTGACACCTCCTAACTACCCACCTGAAAGTCCATTCCATTGGCCATACTCTCACCTAGTTGCCCAGTGTCCCTCGTGACAAACATCATTGGACGCCATTTTTAACACATAACTTGGATGCTCTGCGTGTTAAGCCAGCCATACTCAACCACAAAGCCATGGTAACATTGCCTGAAAAAAGAAAAAACCATAACCATACTCAACCACAAAGCCAAGGCAAAAATGCCTTTTAAAAAACCCAACCATACTCCTCAACCACAAAGCCATGATAAAATTGCCCAAAAAACATACTTAACCACAAAGCCATGGTAAAATTGGCGTAAAACAAAGTACTCAACAACAAAGCCATGGTTGAGTAGCCGTAAAACACACAAAGAGCCCGTACCCTTGCTTACCAAATTTGGTTTGGCGCTGACGCTAAGAAAGGCGCCACGTCAAAGAAGGCGTATCGGAGAAAGCATTCAAAGAACTTCTTGAACTCCTTCTCCGACAGGACGCCGTCCTCTTTTTCTGCATGCTGAAACGGTGCGTCTTAAGTTAAGGGTACCTGTTTGGGGCCGGCTGCAAAGGGAACCAATGGGAAAAATGGTGTTTGCTCTTGTTTTGGTCATGGCACCCTTCAGTTGTTCAAAATGGGGTCCCGGATTCCTATTCCGTAACTGGTAGTGGGACACCGCTACAAGACAAACCACTACCTCACTGCCATCTGGCATGAGGGAAACACATCGATTGTGATCGACCCAACCCTTCTTTGGGGGAACCCAACAAGCTTGTGCCACTTGCAACCAGCAATTCATTCGTCGGGAAAACATGATGCAACCCGTCTCTTGTTGGTCGGTCGATGCCGGTGCGGGGACCTGGTTGACCATCTTTTGGCTGGTGGCAGCTGTCTTATGACAACCCCCTTTTGGTTGTAGAAAGCAACCCTCTCTGTGATCAATGAGTCATGAGGCCAAACTGGGTTTCTCTTTGCGAGCAACAATCATTGTCATGGAAAAGCCAGGTGTTCTCAACATGTCTAAGGGACTGAGGTCACACCAAACACCAGCCATGCACACAGGGCTGCCAATGCAAAGAGCCTTGTTCAGGTCGGTTGCGTCGAAGAAGGACCGCAGGTTGCCTTCCCTTGGCCTCAGAAAGGGACACTCTGCGTCTTGGGGTTTTATGCGAAAACCTCGCTTTGCCGGGTCGCAAGCAAAATCGAACCTCACTTCCGAACGAGAGGACTGGCCGAAAACAGTTTAAACTTGCTTGGCACTAACATGGTCTTGGGAGCCAGACCAGATCTCGAATAATCAAGAAACAACAACCACAATGCCCTCTTATAAGCAAAAACTGGGAGAAAAAAAACAATAAGTAACTTTAAAACACTGCCCATAGCTTCCAGCTACCAAGGGTGGTTTGGATTGGGTGGTTTCCCAGTCCAAGACAACCAGGTGCTCAAATCCCAACCACCAGCTGAGGGGTATTTGAGTAATTCTAGTCACCCTTCAATAGTCTGGGAAAACAAAGGTGACTGCACTTGTATGGCCGTCCAAGTTGCTTTAACGGCGGAAACGCTTTACAGTTTGGATAAGTCAGCAAATGGACTGAGAGCAGCCCGAAGTTCACGAGAACTTTCAACAGTACCCGGCAAACAGGTACCCCCGAACTATAGGGCACCAAGAAACGGGCATCCACCCGCGCGAGATGTCTCTCGTGCCAAATCGGGAAGCCCGGCGGTTGTAAGCCGAAGCTCTCGTAGAGGGTGCTCACTAAAGGCAGCACCTCTGCGACGAGAAATGGGTGGGCTGTACAACCCTTATGGTAGCAAAAAGTGACTGCTTGTTGCAGCCACTGAAAATCAAGAAACAAGAAGAAGCTAAAACACCTAAACACATGCCAACAACACGGCCGTCGATCCAAGTGGAACCCGCCCCCCCAAACAGTTCTGATGGAATTGGATGATGAAAATCAAGCATGGGATCATCAATCCGGGTCAACCTTCCATGGGAACTCTGGGTTCCGCAAAACCCGGTGATTTGTTCATCGGAAGGCGCCCAAAACCCCTGGGGTTCAGACGAATAGGACAGGTTCTACTTAGATCCGGAGTCCTCCCCACTTCCACCTGAAGCCAAACCCCAGCCCAACAACCCCCCTGAACTTGGCCCGCACGATTTGTTTTATCATACTTAGCCTGGAATAAACAAGACAATCTCACATCCAAACGAGTGGATGGGACAAAAAATGCCAAGCTTTTTGAGTGCCATTAAATAGTCCAAACCTCGGAAAGGTATCAAGTCCAGAACTCAGGAAGTGCGAAGAGAATGGGAGGAGACCCCAGGATAAGCCGGTCCTTCAAAGGTTTCACCAACCACCTGGGTACATACCATTTAATTCCGCAATAAGGGGAACATAAAAGGGTAAGCGAGAGATATAGATGCAACGGATATAGGCAACAGGCTTGACATGAAAAATGCAAATCGATGCCCAACATGGCGGTTGCTATTCGGAAGAAGTCGAACAGGCCTCAAATGAGTTTGTCTCACAATTAGGAAGCCATCTGTTGGTTTTCGCTAGGGGCAATCGGAGCAGCCGAAAAACAGCTAGGCCTTATTTAACTTTCATCGGCAGCTTGGGCGGTTTGGATGACCTTAGGTGACCATTTGCCATCAAGGGTCAGATAAGCAGGGGGGTAGCTCATGAGCGCCCAGAAAAGAATGTGCTTGTGGGGCACGTCAACACTGGATTTAATGGGACCAAATTGCAGAAGTCTTTTGACCCCCTATAATACAATGCCTCAAAATGAGGGAACCACACCCCAAAGCGCCCCAAACGATTGCACCTCCGTCCAAGAGAGCACCCCGTCTCCGTTGACGTCAAACCTCGGTCCGTGGCTTGCTCAAGCCTCAACCAAGGGCACATAACCATCTGTGGATTTCCTAACTATTGCAGGTGGGCCAACCACATCCAACCATGAAACCGTGATAATTTGCTCCTACTTGCAATGTTTGATTCTGGTCAATGCTTGGTGTAGTGAACCTTAACATGATTCATGCCAAAAGAGATGCCATATTGGAGTGAGAGCATTCTATGAATACCACAATCTAAACACTAACCAACCAAACAAACACTAGATGAGAAAAAGCAACGTGCTTGTCCATCTTTGTCCTTGAGTGGAAAGGTAGCCCTAAATTGGTCTTCTTGGTTTTCCTCCTGCAGCCCAAGAAGGGTGCCAGGATTGCACTGGATTTCTCTGCAACTCGGGTAGGACAACTGATTTGACAGGTTTGCTCTCTTAGGCCCCCAGTGGCCATGAGAGGCACTCCACTTTTCTTGGTCCGACTTTGAAAGCAGACGCTTCCGGGGACAAAACCCAACAAAAAAAGAACCAGCGACTCTCGCGCCGCTGGAGGTCTGGTTGTTGCTTCTTTTTTGTTGAGCAAACAAAAAAACAACTAGCAAGGGCTGGAGGTTTGGCTCAGAGCAAAAAGTATCCATAGTGGTGGTGCTCGAGTTTCGGGTTTCCGCAAGAAGGTTACCCTCAAAAAAAGCCAGACCCTATAGCGTTATTATCTAGACAACTTCCTCTTGGTTCCCGTTAAACTGGGTCGGGGTTGGCGGCAACAAACTAGGTGAAATCTCGGTGTCGCTGAGTCCAGTGTCCTCCAAATTGCCGACCCACTTTCGAACGAGTGGGCTGGCTGAAAAAAGCAACCAAACTTTGCATTTGCCACCAGAATGGTCCAAACCCAAAAAGTACAAAGTCCAGGAACTCAGGAAGCGAGGTAAAGCAAACCACCGCCCACTGAAAAGTTGACAACCATCCAAATGTCCCAATCAACAAGCCTAACCAGAGACACGCTGAGTTGCGAAACCCCCACGGCCTAAGCCCGCTTCCGGTGGGATGAACAGGGTCTTGGGCAGGAGGGGTGCAAGGACGTCACTCCCCAACCTGGTCACAGTCATGAACCCAATGGGGTGAACGGGGATTTGCTCACATGCGTGTCTCAAGGGGTATGGACGGCATAAACCCCAAACTGTCGTGAAGTCGGCTTTGGGCCTTGTGAGTTGTCACAAGGGCTTTAGTGGACCCTCAAAACACAACATCCCACATCAAATTTAGTAACATCGACAGGCACCCAGTGTTCAGTGGTGTTGCGATGATTTTCCCCCTTTTTTTTTGTCGCCCTTCCATGGCCTTCCGTGGCAGCGCTTTTGATCTCCGGAGCGCTTCCGGCTGAGCCGCCGGCTTCCGGAAGTTCTCTTTGCACACCGCGGCGAACATCACAGGACCTGCGCACGACTCGTGCGGGGAGGGGGCCTCGAGTTTCGCAAGGCCGACCCTCCCAAGCTGGGCTCTTGTTCTTAACCCGTTTCCTGTCCCTTGAAAAAGACAAGCGACAAAGCAGCTCCTTGGATTGCCTTCGAAGAGGGCCGGTAGTCAAACTAATGGAAGGGGGCGCAGATCCCATTTGCTGGGCCTACGAAGTCCAAAAAGCCAACCCTCATGGAGCATTCAGACCGTCAGTTGCAAATGGGACAACATTGTGACATGGGCTTCATGGGCAGGACCTATTGATCACCTTCATAGAACAAGCCAACAACCCAGAAACCAACAGGATTAAAACTAGTTGCAACATGAACACGCCATTCATGATGTCCCCAAAACTATGGGATACACAGTCGATAGCTTGTGTTTTTCTTTGGGGGGGGGATGGATTGCACCGATGCTGGCTTGCCCTGCAGCAAAGCGCAAAGGGCACGTGTCTCACTACCAAGCGCTGACCATCAAACGGTTAGGAGGATGGTTTCCAAAGGCCGACAAATTGACGAAAGCTGATCCCACTCAAGCCTGATATTCGTAGCTGTCCAAAAAAAGCACGGTGAGAGCCACACCATTCTGCCGGCTTGGCTTGGTGTCTCAGAGGCTCGGGCGAGGATCATTCATGATGAGCAAGCCGTTGGGAGCAACACAGGTGCTCAAGGCAGGCGACCGGCGATACATCAGCACATGGAGGGAAGCCACCCAGTTTCCGCAATGCAACTGTGGCTGCTGTTCTTGATGTCCATCCCTGTGACTACTTTGTCACTTTCAAAAAGCCTCCGTTGTTATCCCCAGAGATGGATCTCGAAACCTGCAATGCCCACAGCGAAATCACCCCAACTGCCACCAAAAACAAAGGGCAGTTTGCAGCAACTGAGGCGCCCGCTGGTGAGGAGCGTCTTGACGTGCTCTTGGTCATCCTGGCTCGTGCAAAAAATTGGCGGCTCGCCCCACTTCGCGTTGTGCGTCTGGTCTTTCTTAGGCTCCATTTTGATGTGGAAGGCGTGAGGCACGGATCACGGAACAGATCGAGGAACAAGGAAACCTAACATGATACACTTGATTATCCCCCCTACTATCGGGGGGAGAGGGGTGGGGGTGGGAATCCCCCACTTCCGTCCGCAATTCCCCTTCTGACCGCGTACACTTGCAGTAGTGGGGCAGCCCAAATATCTGCTTCTTTTCGCATCAAGCGCGGGCATGCGTCTCCAATGGTTGGCCCTCGTCTGAGTTGTTTCTGCCCTTAGGGCATTCCAACAACCCAAGGAACTACCTACCCCCCTTCCTCGGCGCGAGAGTGGAAAACCTCGTAGATACTCCCACCTACACAGGTATGAAGGGTGAAGGCATGCCTTTTGACACACCGCTCGCCCCGATGCTGGGAATGCTGCTTTTCTAGCAGTGCCGGTCCAATTTCAACCGAACAGGTCACCAAGTCAATGCTGAGCTCATGCGGCTGGGACCTCAAATAGCTATGAGTTCATCCTCTTTCTCGAGACATGGCTCTGTGACTTCTCGTCGTGGCCATGGCCCCATGCGATGTGCACGTGTTGCAGACGTGTGGCTTCATCCCATCACTCCTCACAACCAAATGCTCATTCTTCTGATGGAAGGCTGCTAAGACCAGGGGGTAGAGTTCCAATGTCTCTCTTAATTGGCTTCATGCAAATTAATTATCATGTTCCCCTTTGTTTGTTTGGTGGTTTGGATTGGTGCTTTGGAGATTTGCATCCTCTTGTGGGTAAAGAACTTGTTGCTCTCCAACTTCGGACGCTTGTCCGGAGAACTGCGAGAGCTCTCCTGGGGGGTGGTTTCCGGTCCGGTTAGACTCCCTGCAAAACCATCCGACAAGGGCCCCCCCTATTTTGAGACAGACCCCCTTCTTGCCTGCCCGAAAAGTGGTTTCTCAGGTTGCCGAACAGGCGCACAAAAAGTCCAGGTTCATCAACTCTCTCAGCTGTCATGCCAAACTGTCCTGCTGTATGGAAAGTATACCAGTAGGGCCTGCAAAAAGGAGGAATGTAAGAAGCTGAGGTTCGAAAAATCTGCAGCCATGACGGAAAGTCTTTGAATAGTGTCTTCCGAGCTGACCTTAACTGGAAACCAGGGTGTTTTGAGGAAACCCTCCCATGACCACTGGTAAACGAGGGTGAAACGAACATGAAAAGCATCGCCTCATCAAAAATGGACATCAAGACAAACATGTCCAACATGCAAGATCGACACGAAGCACCAACAAGAAAGGAGGCACGCCTGTGTCAGGAAGGGTAGGGTTGATGTACATGCGGATCGACGAGCTCGCAATAATTTGTAGGTACAGCAACCAGATTCCTGTGAAGATTGAAAGAAAGTCACTTTCAATCGCCCCAAATTGAAGGAACTGACTCAAGCCAAAAATGATTTGTGTATGAGTCTGGCTCGTAAAGAAAACTGGCACATATCAAAAAAGAGCCCAGAAACCATCCAAAGCTCTAGGCAACCCACCTGAGCAACACCCAAGACCCTTTGAACTTTGGTACTTGGTTACACAAACATATTTAGGCCGCAATATGATCCCAATCGAACCAGGCTGTTGGACTAAGTTGGCAACATCTTAGGACACAAGGTCATACGATGGTTACACAACTGGGGTCGGCTCCTTACTCCCCTGCAAATTAACATGCAACCCCAAAAACAGATCCGCAAAAGGAGAAAAATCGTGGGTTTTTCGGGGGTGACCTCCCCCACTCTCCCAGAACGAAAGTGGTGCTGGCGGCACCGGGTCCACGTCCCGCTTGCCGGTGCCGGCCAAGTCCTGCACGGCAAGGGGAAAGCGGCAGATACGTCAGCCTCCCCTGGGTTTTTGGTAGATCGATGGTTTGGGGGGGGGATGGGGGGTGTGGGATGGGGGGATGGGGGTGTGGGATGGTGGCTGGGGGGATCGGGGATGGGGGTTTGGACCTCTGACCAGGATTGACACAATTAGACCTAGCTCAACCGAGCTGCATCCGCTAAGAGCCTGTAACCGCAAGGGTTTTAGATTTGATGCTTTAGAGATTGATTGGCGGTTTCTCATCTACCCTCAACAAGAACCAGTTGTCAGTTCCTCGGCGTCACGAAAATGAAGACGAATCCTTCATCCCTCAAACGTGCAAAACAAAAGCCACGGCCGGGCTGATAACCAAAACCCAGCGAGCCCTTGGAACATATGTGGTCCACTGGGCCAGTGCGCGCGTGTGTGGGGCTGGTTCACAAAAACTCACTCAAGATCTAGGGGTATTAGAACGCACCTCGTTACAGACTTGGGTAGCTGATTGTCACGTTGAGGTCGAGGGTTTTGGAGTGTGCCTGGACGAAGGCATCCGGCCGTGCGTCGACGGAATCCTTCTTGAAGAAAGACAACTCCTCATTTATCCGACTGACTGACTAATCCGGCTTCACCATTCTGCAACTTCACCATCAACTCAGCCCAGACAGCCATGGGATAAAAAAAGCTCCTGTTCTTGTTGACTGATAGAGGGAAATCCATTTCGAACTCAAGGCATATGGGTGTGCTTCTTTCAGGAGTTTTTTTTGGAATCGGATGGAATCGGTTTAAAGGGACGCTCAAGGGAAGTTTACCCATTTTGGGGTGGCCCCATTTTGATGTGCTGCTGTTTCCGGCCCCCCAAACTCCCTAAAGGCCGCGTTCGTTCGCTCGGTTGGCCTTTGAGACAAGATCTCATCAAACGCCATGGCCCCCCCACGATTGGCCCATGGTCCCGCAGCGCTGCGGCAGCCTGACCTGGCACGTCTCAAAATGGCCCAGGACCCGTCGGCTGGGCCTCAAGCGGCTTTTGCAGCTTTCCTAAGATGGTTTGGTTCCATTCCCAACCCACCCCAAGGATAAATATTTGGTGGTTTGGATTTGGATTTGAAGCCATGGTTCTTGTAGAGGGTAAATGAGACGCTACCCTTAACCAAACCATCATTTTGCGACTGACACACATAGACCAATATCCTGTTAGGAACCCTGCCATAAAATCTGAGACTCCAATTGGGCGCAGGCCTGCATGCCCGTTGTTCTCCCGCAAGATGGCGGCAATCTTTGCTGCCCCGATATCCGGGAAGCGCTCGGTCAGGCGATCCTCCGACAAGAACACATTGCCAATTTTGAGAGCCCCGCCCTCACCCAAAAACCGTAGGTGTTCAGCCAAGCTCGGTGAACACGGGACAAACAGCAAGAGGGTGCTTGGTTTCTTTGGCCCCTCTCAGCGGAAGTGAGCCTTTTTCCCCTTGTTGCGTGAAACTGGGCTAGAATAACAGCACCGCCCGCCTTAGAACAGTTCAGGGAGTATCTTATCTTGGGTTCCCGGCTGTTGGGGGAACCAAAAGCAAACCAAGCATTTAAAACCGACATTGTTTGAGACGCACGTTTTGCCCCTATGGGCAAAGACACATTACCTTTTTAGATTCTGGACCATGTGAAAAACATGGATCCTTGCGGTCTGGCAAGAAGCGGCGCACCCTGTAGGAGACTCCATGCACATTGGCAACTAACAAGTAAGGTTCAAGCCACCCAAGAAGGGATACAAAACAGGGCAAGCCGCTTTAATCTACTTATGCAATATAGACTTCACAAATATATGAAAGAGACGCCGAGTAAACCCGTTGATGTCAAATGCTCCGATCAGTGAGCTGGATAGAATTTGCCAACTTATGTAAAAAAAAAAACAAGGTCTCCTGAGAGCTCAGGCCATAACCACGGCCGTCAGAGTTGCTAACCCCACCTCCGCCAAGCAATCGTGGTAAACCACGTTGGTGAGTGGCACACAAATCCATGCCCCCTCTAGAAATTGTCAATCTTGAAAGGGTTCTCTTCTCTCAGATACCAGAAGGACCTGGAAATAAAAGGACCTCTTGGGGCCTTGGCTAAAAATTGGCCAAACAGTGGAAACTACAAGATCGATCAAAAGGTTGATTCGCTTCGGGCAAGGAAGCTGTCAATCCCGACAGGGGTTCCCCTTGTAGGGTTGCGACATGCACCGGCGCCAGCGACTCGGGCCCAAGGCCCCGACGAAAACGGGCTGCCAAGACTCCCTGGGCGTGGAGTTGTGTTGTGCCCAGTTCATGCAGATTCACCTGGGACCCAGTGAATTCATGTTGACTGTTGACCCCATATTGCTCAACCCCAGCTTATTGATAGGGGGTGGGGGCTCCTCCAATAGCGATGATTCCCCACCAAACCCAGGCCAGGGACACCCCCGTATCAATAAACTGGGGTTGATTAACATGGGATGAACATTGTTGTTTTTACAGGAATCCCCTTTGGTCATAGTCGGACATGAAATGCCCCACAGCAGTCACCACGCTCTCTTTTGTCAGAGTCAAGCTGAGGGTTTGCCCACCGTGAACCGTTTTCGGGCAGCCCGTCTTTGAAATGATACTGTCCTCATGGTGAAACGCTGGCGCGCAGCTGTAACAGTATATTTTGCATGCTGCCAGGGAAGCGTCAATCTTTGTCTGCGTCCGCAGCTGTAGCCACAAAGGTCACAAATAGGCGCATTCAGGTGTCAGCCTCCAAACATGCCTCGTGAAAGTCTGCAAATGTTCATGATCGATCCAAGACTGACGAAGGTAAACCCATCGGGTGACAGCGCCACGAAACTGAACTGCGGCCACCTACTTGTTTTATTCGACTTGTGCCAGTCACTAAGAGCGTGCCCAAAGGAACGGTGTCGAAGGATCTATGATTCAGCAAGCATCGAATATCTTGACATGTGTCACTGTTCGGGTCGTGCAGTCTCGGCTCCCGGAGCAAAGAGTGCAAGAATGGTGGGGGCAGGTGTCTCGGAACCAAGCCACCTCATGACAAAGTTGTTGAAAGTAAGGGTTGCCCCTCCAGTCAGCACTACGATAAAACACATCCTTCCAACGCTTGATGCGATATCCCCTGCCAAAATGAACAGCAACAAAAAACAACAACACATGCCAACGACAGTAAACACATCCTCAAGAGTTGCATAGACTTTGCTAAGATGTTTGCCCTGGACGATGTATTCATCGTTCATGTTACAGAAAAGACGGAAAGCAACGACGAGGACATCCTCACTAGCCTCCAGCCTTTGCGCACAAAGGCACCCTTACAATGGTTCTCCTCATTTCCCAGTTTGGACCAATAATTAACCGCCCTTTCGGACCCTTGGCTTGAAAAAATGAACCAACAGGTCGAAGGTCGGCTTTGACAATCGGCCCAAGCCAAGGAGCTGTCTGCCTCAGCTTTTGCCATCGACAGATCAATGGCCTGTATTCAGTGAACCTTTTGCAAAGTGAGTTCAAAGGACCTCCTGTAGCATGGATTGCCCAAAATATTTCAACATGGGATGTTGACATCGCTTTAAGCCAAACAACAGAAAACAAACGGATCTATACCCTGAGTGAAACGGAACCCGGAAACAAATAAATTAAACAAAATGCAACATCCATCTCTGAATGCGGGACTCCTCAACTATGTATGTTTTCCAGTTGGCATCCTTTAACCCCAACCTGGGCTCCCTCAAAAACACACGCCCATGCTACTGCGCCCATGCGCGATGTTCCGAGGGCCCAGACGTGTCCGCGGGCGCCATCCCTCGGGCCTGAGGAGAACGTATGTCAAGATAGGGGCCCAAAGCCAGGTGGCTCCCTTTGTGGGGTGGGGGGATTTTTCTGGGGTTGGGGTGGGGGCTTTGGGGGGGTTTTGGAGGTTTGGTGGGTGGGAAACGTAAGCGCAGCTAGACCTACTGTGGATAGACACAAACCTTTCGCGCCACTTTGAAACCATGGTTGAAACCATGGGTGTGGGTATTGACAGGGGAATCTTGCCCTCCAATTGGTACAAAAGGGGTTCTATTCATTCCAAGTACAAGACATGGATGCCCTGTATTGTTATTTGTTGTCCATCATGTCTTAGGTGGTGCAGGATGTCGTCCATCCACAGTAGGTTCCCTTTAGGCTTCCCTTGAAACCAACCCAAAAATATCGTACCCTGAAAACAGAACTTTGAGCAAGAGATCAACACACCACCAACCCCAAGGGTCAAGAAGGTCAAGGGCTTTAGAGGTATGTCAGGTATGCCACGGGTTTATTGTGATCCATGTTTTGTTTTGGACGGGTGCCACTCTGGACCTCCGCCCCCAATTTCAGCTGTGCCTGTCCGTTCTTCCACGACAACTCCAAACGGATTAACATGGGTTTCCAAATGGCATCACATTGAGCTCGATCTTTGCCAGCCGCCCTAGGGTCCCGGGCCGGGCAAGCAATCGGAGCGAGAACCGATTCGACTCGGTCCCGCTTGAGCCGGGCGACCAAGGCCAGGCACCTCATTCCCGGTGCTTTTGCAACTGACCCCACTTTCTTGGGGAAGCATCTCGCCCAATGGGAGAAAATCCGGCAGGCAACTCCGGGAAAAAGTCGGGCTTCCAAGGCCAAGCCGAAAGCCTGGCTCGGCGCCGGGTTTCCCCAGACCCCAACTTGTGGCCTCATGACACTGTGCGGAGAAACCCCCCCAAACAACGCACAAATCCTCCCAAATACTCTTACTCCATCTGGACTGGGTGAGGGGAAGAGTATATACATTGAAATCCTATGACTTCAGCACTTCCATGTGGAAAGGGTACCCGAAGATCGCCCCGCCCAAACTTGGATGCCAGTTGCTGAATTCAGTGCCGGCGTGCACAAGTGTCTAGTGTACATGCACTCATGTCTACACATATATGTATATAGACATGCACCTAGTACTGTAGCTTCCTTCGCATGTCTCGTGCCAACATCCGACTTAGATGTGAGGTGTTCGTATAACATCCACCCCAAAGCACTTACTTCAGTCCCTGCAAGGCAATGGGATCCCCTGAAAACGTGGTGAACTCATCCAGGGCTTCGTCTTCTTCCAGGGTAACATGGACCCCCAAGCCCCAAGCGGGCCCCGAAAGGCGATTCCCCTACAACTGGGGCATTCGGGGCAACCAAAAATGACTCCGTGTTATATGTTTGGCTAACCAACTTATAGTTTTGGAGAGGAGACCTTGTAGACCCCAACGAAGAAGAACGGATCGCTAAAAAACAAATAACATAATGCAAGCTCCTTTCTGCAATGGGCAAATATCTTCATGGGATGGACACTTCTGACCCAATGGGCACTTCTGATCCAATGGGATTATATACGCCCGCATGGCTCCAAAACGGCAAAACATAACGTACGACGCAGGTTGGCATGGAGCCTCAAATCCCATCATGATTCAAGAAGAACAACTAGGTCCTCCAGTAGAGAGGTTCGAATAAGGCACCCGATTTTTTGCCGTAGTCTATTTTAGTAGGGGAACCCTCTCCCCAAAAAAGGGTAAAAGGGCACTACTGGGGGACCTAGATAACATGCCCCTTGGCGAGTTCTATGTCGATCTGCTGCCGTTGACCCCCCTTGCAGCTTTCCAAGCACAGCTCCATTTCCCTACGACTCAAACGTGCCAGGGCTCTCCGGTCGCGCGCTTGCGCATTCGCCCCCCGGTCGCTCGAACGCGCTTTTTTTCTTCGACGGTTCGAGTCTTTGGCTGGGAACCGGAGGCCCAAGGAATCTTGACGTATGGCTGGCTCGGAATGGAGCGGAAAGAAAACATCCTCGGTACCAAAAGAATGTACATGTTGTGCATTGAAAAAAACATTATGTTCTCCTTTGCAGCCACAGTAAATAAAGCAATATCGGAGAATACCCGAAATTATGGCAAAGAAACTGGAGGTTAGAGGCCCCTTTAAACCATGTCAGGGTTATTGATTCAGCATAAGCTGCGGGCCCAACTTCGAGCTGCAAATCCAGGAGTTCACAAAAGTGAACAATAAGAAGGGCACCTTTTTCGCTGGCACTTGATGTTAAAACATGCACCCCCTTCCAAGAAAAAGAGCTTTGGGTACATGCAAGTGAATTCTACAATTCCTAGACTTGACCTATACTGAAATACGGGATCCCTCGAGGACAGGACCATCATGGGTGCATCGCTTGTTTTCTCCGTTTTCGAATCGGTGGAATCGCTCGCCATAAGTAGGCAAGTAACAGCTCAGTTGCCCAAAGGATCCACAAACAACAAGCTAGCCTTTGCGAGATGTATCCTGATTTCAGCCTCGTTTCGACTTCCCATGTGCGCGCCACCTCGGCAACCTTCGTGCCGTTGCCGAACCGGCACCAGCAGCAGCGGTTCCGTTCGTTGCAGACGCGCAGACGCCACGAGTCTCAAGCCCTACAGGTATGGCTGATTTCCTGGTTCGTTGGGCAAGTGAGCAACTAGACAACGAAATCCAATCATAAGACCATGGCCAATTGCAGGAAGGCAGGAGGCTCCAATTTTGGCAGCGGATTCTTCCACCAGTCAGAATTGATGAAAGCTGTTGGTGCAGGAATTTGGTCCCAATATGTTGGCCCACGTACAAAGAAGTGCAGAGACTCTTCATAGTAACCTGAACACTTCCAATTATATCGGAGGTCAAACCAACCTTGGATTGCTGCCCCCCCCCACACCTAACAAAAGAGTTTGGAGATTCCAGCCCATGCCTGCTAAACCTTAAAGCGCAAATGGTGCCAATAGAGGTTCTACACTAGATCAAACTGCAAATGATTCGAGTGAGTCCACATGTCTCCAAAGAAGCAAACTGACACGGTGAACTCAGCAATGCGCCAATCAACAGAAAGGTTCCCTTTAAAACAACACTTCGTCATATGTGCGGTCACAAGCCATCGGGTGCGAAATTCGACCTGGCAGCATAGGACACTCTCAACTGCGGACGGTTGCGACATCCATTTCGAAACGCAACGGATGATTCGATGCCCTTTTAAATACAATGGTTTCAGTGATGGTTTCAAAGTGGTGCGTAGCATTTCGTTCATCCACAACATCTCCCGTCATCACAGAGCCCGAACAATCTCCAACTTCTCATTGTGTGTAGGCAGATTGGGCTCGCGGCTTTCCGGGCTGCGCGGCATTCCGACACATTCCACCTACAGCCGCGGCAACTGCGCGGCCAGTTGTCACTCGCTCGTCCAAAGGACCCGGGTCAAGATATTCAGCATCAGATCTTCCTATTCAACTTTTAACTTCACCCCGCTGAAGGGAAACTCCCTTCAAAATGGCAACAAAGAGACGTCGAAAAACCACCAAACCGGGGAAACTTGGGGAACCCCTCTTTTGAACCTCTCCAAATAAACCCAATAAACCTGCAATTCTCACCTTGAAATCCCCAAGCTTCGGATCGGAGAAAGCCAGGTTTCATGGCTCTCTTACAAGTTTTTTGGGTTCGGTGGGATACGACAGAAACCCCTCTGAACTCCGAAAAAGTGAAACGTTGGCCGATGAGGAACCGCCCAAATGAGACCGTGAAGAGGTCGATTCGCCGGACTCAGTTGGACAAACGAACAAGCGGGGATACGGAAAGAGCGGGATATGGGGGGATTCCCTCGGCGCCATTTCCCATCTCAACTTAGTCAAGGTGCATTTAGGGAGAATCCTCCCGTATCCCTGGTTCCCCCTGTATCCCTAGTTGGTTTCCCTGACTCAATCCTTCAGCCCCCGTCTGAGGCGGGGCGTTCGCATGAAGGTCTGTGACGTGTCCGGACCGGGTCCCCGGCACTCCCTGCAACGCGTCTCGCTCAGGAAAAACCGCCGGCCAAACTCACGGATCGAGTTCCCATGTCCTCTTGAAACATCACACCAAGCAAATCACCAAACATGGCAACCACAGAAAAATCAAGCTGGGAATATAGGGAACCCTGACTTATGATACAGGAAATATGTCCGTCCTTGCGCCTTTGACAGCAACTTCTTGCTGCGGCACTGCGGCTTGCAACGCTTAGCAGGGTTGCTCAGAATTCGAGCCCGGGAAACCAAAGAAGCCGGATCTTCAACGGCCAGAGCAACCCTGTCGAGTGCGCTTTATCCGTTACTTCCTAGTGGGACTACCTGGACCCTCAAAGCGCCCTTAAAAATGTGTTAGTACTTAAAAGTATGGGGTGAATCCCATGGTTGAGGGTAGTTTGAGGGTCTAGGTAGATCCCAAAGTTCAGCGCCTCGACGCTCCTTTGGGTGACTCCCGCACCGATGGAAGAAATATCGAATACGAATCCGGAAGAAGCAGTACGTGTATGTCTATAAATCTGCATGCGTTTGCACAGATATGTTGTGGGTGTGTTTGTGAGGGTGCCCATATTGGGTTCGTTTAAAGGGAGACCAAAGTGAGGCCGGAATTTTGTAGGGTCCTCCACGTTGACACCTACCGATTACGCCCACTAGATTATTTTCCAAAATCAGGGCGAATCCATCCCCTCGAGAGGAAGCCTGATATTGTCAAGTGAATGACCCGTGTTCATTGCAGTTTCCTCTTCCAGCAAGCGCGTTAAACAAAGACAACAAATAAGACGAAAAACCATGCTTCTTGAGCATCTTGAACTCTCTTTGTTGCTTGGCCGCCCAAAGTTTGCTTACAGCTGCACCCCTAATGGGCATCATTCGGATTACAACCTTGGAAGCAAAGGCAGGCAAGCGGACGATTGCAACTAGTCCACCATCCATGTTCCATCCGCCATCGATTTTGCCTCCATGCGAGAGTCCCCAACTTACAACTCGTCACACCGGGCCCTGGGAGTCCGAGCAAATGCCCCTCTTCAGCTTGCCCAGGCTGCAACTCCGATCTCCAGGGCAGCGTGTGCTTGCATTTGCGGCTCCACAGTCCCCTGGATATCCCTGGATCACTGCATGGTGAAGAATAATTACACCGCTTTGCCTCAAGACTACCTCAACCTTCAGAACCAGCGAACAAAATAGACTGTGGGGAACCCTGATCTTAGATTGCGCCCAGCCTGAAAAAATCAGGCCAAATGAAACACATCTGTCAAACTCGAGATTGCTCTTTCTCCAACACTAGCCCATCCAAATGACGCACTTTCTGTTGTCCAAATCACTTGGCAATCTCAATCTTCACCCTGTAAATGCAGCTCCCTGAAAACCGTTCGATCATGTTGGCCTCCCTAATGTTGCAATTCAACTGAGGAGGGGCCTGGCCCGCGTCTGGGGTAATTACGCAGCAAAACATGTGTTTCTGAATCTGCTTTACACTTAACTAGGTTTGGGATCGGCCCCAAATATAGCCCTGTTTACAGGGGTAACCGTGGTTGGGCTAGGTCTTCTCAGGTTCCCCAAAAGGTTCCAGGAAGTTCTGGTTCTGAAATCCCGTTTGTTTGGTGAGCTTTAAGGAATCCATGGCCTGCCAGCACCCAACAACTGCATTTTGGACAGTACTTGGAATCTTGCACATGGGAAAAAAGGCAGTTGTTGGGGGTGCCAGTAAAGAAACTTGTTTGTAGCTGGCGTCTTTGATGTTTGTTGTTTTTTGCCACAGATCTGAATACTGTGACTCTGTCTGGAACCTGAATCAGTTCCGACGCAACTCCTCGGGAGGTGAGGAATACACGTCTTCAAGCACTGGGATACTACACATGGGACGTGTGGAGCCATCAGAAGTCAGTCACAAGTGGACCAAGAATTCCAGGCGCGTGTCTCCAAACATTCTAAAATAGGTGTTTCACCCGGGTTTCCCGAAAGCATGGTTGGAGTGCGCGATTTGGACAACTTGTTTGGCCAGGAAACTGCAATGCTTGAACTTCTTTCTTGCGGGGTACACAAGGATAATTGAAACCCGAAGGAAAAACATAGTCATCGTGAAGTTCGCTTCTTGAGTGGTTTCGCCGCAAAAGTCTGAACTTGTTGCTTACCACCAACATGGTCTTCCCAAACGAGTATACAGTAGAGGAACTCATGAGATAGAAAGTCAAAGGCAAAGCAGCTTGAGGGCAAAGGCCATGGCTTCATTGTCATTCACGGGTAAATTAGGTCTTCACTTGATTCAGGTCACTGGATCTCGCCTGGAACTTACTCCTAGGCTTTCGGGCTAAACAAGGGATCCCTTCAGCCACCATTGATTCGAATCACAGGGCTCACTGTCGCCAACTTTGGAAACCCAACCATTGGGACACGCGCATTCGTCGTTGACGGCGAAAAGGCCTTGAAGCGCTGCTTAGCAGCTCGCCGGCTCGCATTCAGAAAGTGCATTCAAAGTGGCCGGGACGACTTGAGGCCAAAAAGGTCGACAGGGGGGCGAAACTGTACGCGTTTCATTTTTTTTCGAGTGTACCATTTTCAGGTCTAAACTGAAACCAGTCGGAAAATCCGACCTGGTCAGAAATTTGCCCCGACTTTGACGCCGCCGAGTTTGAGAAGCCGTTGGCCAAAAGGAGGGCGACGTTCCGAGAAGCCGAGCCACACCTTTTGAGCATTCGCTACTCGGATGGGTGCTCACTGGCAATTTGGCTGCTTAAACCATATTGAATAGGGAGAAGTAGGTGAAACAGAGTATGTCGCCACATTTTGCCTATCTGCAGTGGCTGGATCCGATCCCCCCCACAGCCAGCGACATTTGGAACGCCTGGTTTCTCCAAAGGGTCTCTCTCTGGATTGGGGTCGCTGAGACTTGCAAGGATTGACAATTCAAGCTCGGGCTTCCTGTTCGCGAACTGAATCGCTTCACCAAGCCTCTTGTGCAGCTTCCGGGCCGGACTTAGACTTTGACATGTTGAAAGGGAACAAAGAACACATGGAACACCGAAAGGGCGTTTCAAAAAAAGATCCTGGACCCTCAAACTACCCTTGAAAAGCGGTTTCACCCCATAATTTTTGGCGCTATCACCATGTTTAGGAATTTTGAGGGCCCTGGATCTTACATTTGGCAATGGAAGCTCACTGTTGAATCTTCGCCCCCCAATGTTGCGGCCTCGCTTCGTCCGAGGCATTGAATGGTTGTCAGAGGCCCCAATTGGGCCCGGCCAAAAGCCAGGGCTCAAAAATGCTCCTGAAGACTCTTAGCACGCGGAAGACGAACCAAGTGAACTTCTTACATCTTGCGGGTCCGAACCCAGCGATTCTTCAGATCACTCGCGCGATCACGTTGGAGTAGAGCCGGATGCACTACCTCATCAAGCTTGCCCCCCACAGCTGGTTGAGAAAGCTGAGTCTAAACCCTGCAAACATTATAGCAGCATTTGCAAAAGCAGGAATTTTGTTCCGGGGCCGCCTTGGCGATGTTTCTCAAGGAAGCTCAATAAAAGCAACGCATTTTGCGACTGGTGCCAAGGCCCTTTAAGTGCGATGTCCTGGCTTTCCGTCCACTCGCCAAAAGATATCCATAGCCCTGACCCCACAGGACCTGGTCGCAAATGACTCACAACATCTCACAACCCAGATAGAATCCTCGAAGGGATCGACTTGACAGGCGATAGCGTCTCGGCCATGGCCCACATGGCACGTCTCAAAACTCCGAAGGCTTTGGGCACTTGTTCTCTGGTCTTTTCCGCTTCGAGCAAAAAAGCAACGCCCATTTTGCCCAAAAACACTCAGCTATAAACAAAAAAGCAAAAAACAATCAATTGGAAAAGTGTTTTGGTGTGTGTCCGGAAATGCCCGCTCATTTCCCGCTGATGTCCGCTCATGTCCCGCCGATGTCCGCTCATTCTCCGGGAGGAAACTTGCCAAATCAAGATAACCGATCATTTCATTGCTTTTTTCGCTCAAAATCCGAAACGCGCAAAGAAAAGCCCAGGACCTAAAAAGTGACCAAATGGAAGACCTGCATCGGGAAGCCGATTTATACAGTGAGCTTCCCTCTTGGTCTCTCTCGACCGCCAAAAAGGTGGTCACCCACAAAAGGTGGCTAACCATATTTGGCCCAGGGCGTTGATCAACTGCATCAAAGGTTTTCCCTATCTTCTACCAGGCGCTCAACTTTGCCGTCAAAACAATGGGGGAGGAATGGGCCCGGGCAATAAATGAGCAAGCTTCCCCTGAGCCTGTGCCAAGGGAACGTGTAGGGAGGCCGTGGATTGCGGAAGTGGGGATGCCCAACTCTCCCCCAAATCGGATCACCTTTGGGAGTTGCAACTCAGCCCGTAGTTTCCAAGCTATCCGAAAGCAGACGACACCAGGGCGTGCCCCGGGCTAGACACTTTGGACATCAAGAGCCGCGGACATTTTGTCCTTCGCCCGTCTCTGCTTGCGCTCTCTCCCATCTTTGAGGGTCAAACACGCTGGCACCAAGACAGTACTTAGCATCGCTTCGCATGTTGAATCAGTCTCCTAGCCTCCACTGGAGGCACCTTCTGTTTGCACTCTCTTAGCCTAGCCTCCACTCGTTTGTTCTCCTGTGCCTCTACCCTTAGCCTCCATTCTCTTAGCACTTTTGTAGCATTATTAGCATTAAAAATCAAACAGACAAACAAACAAATAAACAAGCAAGCAAGCCAGCAAACAAGAACACACACAAAGACATACACGGGCCCGGTCCGTTCGGGCATTGAGCATTGACGACGCTGGCACCCCAAATAAGCCACGTGGCGCACGAGCGTCTCCGGGATAAAGCTGCGAATCTGGCGAGCAGCGGCAAGCCGCGTGAGCTGAGGATTGCCCCAAAGGACCCAGACATCGTGAGGTTGCAGTAACCTTTTGGGACCGTGACCAAAACTGGTTAACGGGGAAAACCAAAAGGTGAAACGGTGATTGGGCGAGCAATTCAAGCTACCTGCAAGGTTGTACCCGGGGCCTCAACCCCAAGAGGCTAACAAACATCGGAAGACTCCAGTTGTTGAGAATACTTGGATTTCAGACCAGGTACAGCATGGTACGGCAGCTGCATGCACGAATTAAGAGCTTGCTTGCAAAATTATGCGATGCTTGCTTCCGCCACTTCGAGTAGAGTTCCGGTAAGTCGTCCTCCGGATTGATCCGAAATTCCCGGAGCAAGCCCCTAAGCCCCAAACCCTTTGTCAATTTGATGAAGCGACCTGCCCACAAAGGTAAAAATTGTCCAACACAGCATGTGGATTCGTCTTAAAATTAGAAAACCTACCCAAATTATGGTCTGCCTTTTGGTTTCCCCTCAAAACCAACCAAAAGGGGCTCCCTCAAAGAAACACACCCCCAGGCAGGTACATACACACCAAGGCACGTCAACGCATGGGCAAAACTGCTACAACCAGTTCAAGCTTCCATCAAGTCACCTCCATGCTTATTTACATGGCAAGCCACCAAACAAAATGGGATTTCGCAGGTTCGGACTTTGTCCCCAAAAAGAATCAAACTTGAAAAGGAACCTCGATAAAGGGGCTGGGAGGGTTGGCGCCCCTTTGACTTGGGTTACCACCCCCTGTTTAAAAATTATAGAAGACCTGTCAACCCGCCTCGCAGTCCGGTTCCATTCAACCACATACGTGGTACCCTCCATTCACGGAGTTTATTGTTGTGGCCTCTCTTAGCTTCCATGTCTGGAGGCTGGAGCCCACTAAAAAGCCAACTCGAAACAACCCAATCCAGCAAATGACGACAACGTTTCATGAGCTTTTTGCCTTGACAAAACTCCCAACATCTGGACCCAACCACACCCCCCACCCTCACACCTTCCCGGCTCTCCCCACTTGAAATTCATCGTAACCTTGAAAAAAACATACAAACCGGGCTTCGGCAAAACCAACCCTTGGAGTTCCTTGTCTGTGACGAGGTCGCCCTGGATGACATCTGAGAGCTCATGGAGGGGCAGCTCATTGAGCCACACCTCAGCCCAGCTCCGGGTGCCCACAACTTACATCAAACCAACCACATGCACCAAGGGAACTTACGGCAAGATATACAACTATATGGTCACTTATGGTCACTTATGGGAACTGAGGGTACCTTAAACAACCATGCTAACTCAGGGGGTCAAAAACTGGCAAAAACAAGGTTGAAACCTCCCCCAATCAACCTCATTGGGGATATCAGGGTCCGACTTTCGGGGCCTGAGTTTGGTCTCTTTCAATGTCCGGGGCCCCAAATCGAAGCATAGCCAGGTAGATCGTAGGCCAACCCCTTCGAACTGTGGATGGACGCGAAATCCTCTTAGGCACCACCTGACAAACCCTGGTTTCTGAGTCGATTCCCCCTGTAAAACACCAACCAACCCATGGTTTCCCATGGTTTCCAAGTGGTGCAGGATTTCGTCCATCCACAGTATTTAAGCAACGATTGTTTCAGCAACCTCCTTGTTGGTGTTATCTGGGGAATGGAGGTGCTTGAACATGTTTGGCCGACTGGTGGATATCTCAGTCTTTGCGACCACCGTCCTCGTCAAAATAGGATCTCATGTCCCTAGATGTTTGGTGGGTTTTTCTGCAAAAACAAGACGGACCCTGCTGGGAAGGGGAGGCTCCCCCTAGAATGTTCTCGCGTCACCGCTTGATGACAATTTTGCCAGCATCATTGTTGGTGCACAGTGAGGGAGATACTGTCATGACCCTAGATTTCCAGTTGACCTAGGCCATGTTCAGAAAGGGAGCCCGAAAGGGCTTATTCGCCTGCGGGAAAGGAAGCAACTATGTCCCTGACCCCCGAAACCTTGCCGGCCAAGCCAAAAAAAAGCTTATCGCTTGTTGCTCTGTCAGCTGTTGCTCTTCTCTTTCTAGTGTTCGGGAACAAGTCCAGACAATCAGCCACCTAAAGGACGCCTTCCAACTTGCAACCATGTGCTCACAAGAAGACACCTGAGGGTGGCCTATTGGAATTTTGGAGAACCTGCTATCTACGTATCTGCGAACATTGGAATTGCACAAGATGTGAGCTCTGGCACGCACCCAGGAGAACCCCGGGTAATCCACACCCACTCACCTAGAGTCAAAAACCTGGATGGTTTCTTCTGGCTTGTCTCACATCGGCTCGCAACTTTTGAGTTCCTCACAACCCCCTCTTGGGGGGTGGGGAGGGAGGGGGGCAGGGGTAGGTGGCTGGGTAAAGAACTTCTGCCCACACATCCAAATTGTCAAGGAATCGATGGCCCAATGAAACGGTTGTCTTCATAGAAATGTCCCACGTACCATACAAAGAGTATATCCACTTTCCGCCAGGTCCCGGCAGTAGGCTTGTGAGGGCAAGCCCAAACTCATGAAACATCATAGGAATAGCACCTCTTTGTGCGTCCAGAAAAGGTGGTAGCAGCTTGGAGCTCTCTCAAAATCGACTTCTAAACTAGCCATCTCCAAGACGACAGGGCTCCGACAAACCCGGGAACTCAAAGCCACCATCTAAGCAACGAGGATAAACATTTAGCCACCATTGTTTACCTACTAATTGTGTCCATTGCCATACTGCCATGTTGAATGTTCAAAATAATAAGGACCCAATTTTGTTCCATAGTCATCCTCCAAATTTGTGTCCTTGCCGTTCCTTTCTTTGGCTCGGGCGCCAAGAAAAAAACTCTCGCTCCGGGCTTCGGGCTGCGAAGCGGCGGGCGTACATCTGCACCATGCGGATCAGGGAGTTGCTCGAGGACTCCACCACCTCGTCGCGTTGGACCCAGAAATGAACCGCTGACCTTTTAGCCTTTTAGGGTCATGACTAAACGGGGATCCTTATATTATACACCTGAACATTGCCTTGTCAATGGTGATTTCCCTTTATTTTGCTGCAAAAAGCCATGTTTCAAATGGGCAAAACGTATCTTTTAAGGAGCCCTGCTAAACATGGACCAAACAAAAAAGCAAAAGGTCTGAAGGTCGGTTTATTGGCAACTGGATGTACAAGACCCGCTTCGCACCATGTTTTGGGCCGGTCTTTTGAAAACCAATCATACATGAAAACTACAGCTAATGTGTGGGTTTCCTTGTGCCTATTGGTCAGAATTGTGTCCACCCACAGTACAAAAGGTTGATCGCGACCTTTTGCTCGTTCGGTTGCTGCTTGGGGGGCTTCACAGAGCAGACATTTGTTTGCTAGCATACCGTGTGGGTTGGCCAAATAGCTGAATAGCGATACCTACGACAACCGGCTGGTTGGACACAAAATGACCAATAAAGAACCAACCCCTACGTTGAGCCTGGTCACGCCAGAAAGGGGAAAGCCATTTGCAGGTCCAACACTTTTGCGCCGAAGCTTCGCCGCGAACGCCGAGCCGAGAACGCCGAGCCGCATGCAAGAAGATGTCGGCATCAATGCTGACGATCACGGACTCCCCCAGAGCTTCCGCAGTACCTGCGGGTGCGGATCTGCAATTAAGGCCGGACTCAACATCTCCAAGGGGATGCTTACATTGCTGGGTTGACGTTGGAAGGGGAGCAACAAATTCAAGATTTTAGCAGTTAAGTGGGGATGTCAACCACTAAACCACAATAAGCAAACATGTAACACGTTTCTCAACAACAACCATGATTGGGTGGAGAGTTCATGCAGGATTGTGTTGCCTGACTACTTGGGTAGGTAAATCCAGGGCTTATCTTCAAAAACTGCCCTTCAAGAAGGTATTTTGCTTTTAGAGACCCCTGAGGTCTGCCAAGGGGTTTGTCTAAGGAGAACCTCCCGATTTTGAGCCCTTTCCCTATGCCCTTCCCAACCAACTTAAGAGGAAGCAAGTCTCAACTAGACAAGGAAAGGCGGATTTCCAACCTTTCCCCACTTCTTTCTGGAGCAAATTGGAACATCATGTGTGAGTAGTGGAGCTTTCCAGGCCAGGCGCGGGAAGCGAGCGCTCCGGAGTTGGTGCTCGATAATGCTCAAAAAAGAAGGAACATTGGCGTTCTTGATCCGAGACCTCCATGGTTTTTGGACATCCGCTTGAACTTGAGATAGAAAGGGCAGCCCATGTTTCACGACTGGGACCGCTCCCTATTCACTCGGGAGCCCAGCTTCATTGCAGGCGGATTTTGAAGATTACCCTAGGAGCCGGAAATAAAAGGTTGAGCTTTTGGGACCTTGACTGAGATGAGTGGCCATGGGAAAAAAAGGGCATCCGTTTTTTGGTTGGTTGACTTTAAAGGGCATCCCATTTCCCACTAAAATCCCGACTAAAATGGGTGGTGCACCGACCAACCCCCCAAATAGGATCCCATTAGACGGCCAAGCGAGTCGAACCCGGCAACCACACAAAACACGTCACCTCGGATCAGAGACATCCACCTGTTTGATCAAACGCCGGCCCGGGACAAGCGATTCGAACCCGGGAAAAATCGACTAAAATGGGTGGTGCACCTACCCCAAAATGGTACCATTGGTTTTGAACCATGGCTAGTCGAACCTGGCAGCCGGCTCCCCGCCTAACAGCTCCCAGCTCTGAAGCCACAAGGCCGTCTCCGTGACCCAGTCCTCGTTGGCCTGCACGTACTCCTGCCAAACTTTCCGCGAGCGAAACACCGGGAGCGAGGGACCCAGCCGGGCGTTCGTTGCTTGGGTCTTGGTAGCTGACCTGGCACTCTTGTCGCTTGGATCCTATTCGCGGAGGGGAAGTTGAAAAAAACAACGAAATTTGCTTGGTTGGCTCCATGTGGACAGGGTTTCCAGTTGTAGAGGGTCCCGAACCCGCCAAAGAACAAAGGGGACTGGGTGCCAAATACGGTTGACTATCAAAGGGGACTGGGTGCCAAATACGGTTGACTATCTTTAGAGAGGCCTGAACCCACTTAACGAATGGAGAAACTGCGTGCCGAATAGGGCTGACCACAATAGAAGGGGACCCACCAAGCGAAAGGGGCAAACGGTGCTGCTGAATAGCTGCAAAAATGGAGGCGACGGGGAATGCCTATATTGCGCTTCGCCAAGGGGGTGAAGGTCCAGTTGTTTTTTAAAGATCAAAATAGGTCCCGCGAACACATTCGGGGGCCCAAAGGCCCCCCAAACGTTACCTTCGCCCTCCACAATGAAAACTTGGCCATCACTTCGATTTTGGTCTCTCACGACCATGAGAACAAAGCCGGGAACAACAATGTAAATCGCGTTAATTCGCAAACAAAACGCATGATAATCCCTGGATCTCAACACTTCGGGCTTCGAGAAATGACCACGCGTCCGATGCGGAGGTGTCGCTTTAACCACAAGTCATGTGGTTCTCTGGGGACCCACACAGGGATCGCCTCTTGCAAACGGCTAGCTCGTTGTTGGAAGTGGACGCGTGTGAAATTGGGGAAGGGGGGGGGCAAATGCCCTCGTATTTTCGGGCTCTGCTCAACGGTCCGCGAGAAAGGCGCAAACGCATCCTTGTGGGTGTCGCCCTTCTTGTACAGAAGCCTCAGGCTCTCAACGGAACGCAGGGCTAGTTCCCCCGTGAGTGCCCAGCCCCGGGGTGGATCGTTCGAGCACATCAGTAGAATGACATCCTCAAAATACACTCTCAGTGGTGGATTGAAACGGGGGCCACTGGATTCCTTCAAACGTCGCAATTTGCTGGTGGTGTCCATTGAAACTGTGACTTTTGGAGGAAACACTCCATTCAATGGGTTTCCAACGCCAAAAGTAGTTCTGCGAGCGCAAATCGTAACCACTCTACTGTAAAGGGCCCTGCGTCCTTGATTGCTCGAGGTCTCTTCGTAGGTTGTTTTTTTGGTATTCTTTGCAGGGGTCCTTCTTTCCAGAAAACACGACCAGAAGTGCCTGGAAATAAATGGTTCTTATTGGAAATGAACGATTGCTTGCCGAGAGGAAAGCCGCCTCGTGACTGGAGTGGCCAAGACCAAACCTCGTGACTCGCCATGGAAATCCCAGAAAGTGACCGAAGGTCTGGTTGAACCCAGGCAGTGGACAGAAATGGCCACAACCCTATGCTAATAAACCAGCTGCTGGAAGTTCCGGCGTTGAAATCCTTGTTTCCGGCCGCAACTTGCCTCACTTGCCCAAAGGACCTGAAAAAATAAGCTTGTGTAAGGTTAACCTTCTAGAAGCTTGACAAAATATGGACACAGGGCAACCAACAGCTAAAGCTCGGTGTTGGCCCGTTGGCTTCCATGATGGGCCCTCGGGCATGCCAGAGCTCAAGAAGTGCATGTACGTCGCCTAGCGCCACGGGTGGATCTTGAAAACACAGAAAACGCCGCCGCTCCATTCACCCCAAGCCCTTTGGGTGTCCCAAGGCTTGTTCCAACTAAATGGGCGCCCTAACCTCGCTTCCTGAGTGGACGGGCCAAGAGCGGCCCAAAAATTGGTTTGTCACTGAAATGGCCTTGCCAAACAGTTTAAAGTCTAAGAACTCAGGGAGTGAGCAAGAAATGGGCTCTAACAAACGGGTTTCTAGGATGCTACACACATGTTATCCTTTGGGAGCAAGCTGGAACTCGTTTCTGAGACACCCCTTTCCCGGTGGAGGCCCTGAATAGCCCAAGTGGGGACACCAATGGAACCTGGTAGCATACTGAAATTTACCAGGCTTTGTGGCTGGATGTGGTTGGTACACTCGCGGTATTAAAAAAGACTCCTGAAAAAGGAGTTTTAAAGGGAACCAAGCCAGTTTTCTACCATTCTGGGGTAACCAACCAATGCTGACTTGGCAGTGACAATGCTCAAAGAAAGCGATTCCCTAAAATGACCCGAAGCCCTCCAAAAGAGAACGAACCACCCTTACTTCGGAGCGCCATCCTTCCGGTTCAGTCGAAGTTCTCAAAGGTCAAACCACGATCAGCCAGATTGAACATCATCTTCAGGCATGGGTTTTGGAGGTCGGAGGGTTATTGACCGCCTTTGTACACGGTTGAAAGCCAGGCAGTCCCCTTTACGGGTATGGAAGCTCCACAACTCCTAAAATTCAGTTTGTCATTCCAGTCCCATGCTACAAAACTCGCTGAAAGCCCCCGCGGAAACAAAGGTTAAAGAGAACCCGACACTGACTGGGAGTCAGAATTTCAAAAAAGGAACCTTTGATATGTCTGCTGAAAGGATGATGCTTAAAAATACCAAACAGGTTTTACTATGAGTACCATTCCGGTACCTGGAAGATCATCCTCCTTTGAAGGGACCCCCCAGAAAGGGCCAGTCGGAAATGAGCCCTCCACTGTGAAAGTCCAGCGGAGGCAAGGCAGTCGCACCGAGCTCGTGCCTGCTCACCGGCCACGAAGAGGAAGTCGTTGTGCGCCAGCTGCTTGGTCACCAAAGCCTGGCCAATCCGCTTGGCCGCTGGATCCCACCAGGGGGGATCTGATGGTTCCCAGGTGGTCGAGCGGCGAGGGGAAGTGAAGGAAGACCAAAAGGGGCAAGGCTAAGCCTTTGGTCTGGCAAGCCCTGCCTTCAGGAACAAGAGGCTGGGGGGGGGGGTTGAGTCCCCCAATTCCATTGTACCCAGTCTTCCAAAAACCAAAAAAAGAAAGAGGAAAATGGAACCATAGATGTAACAAATATCTTCATAAAAATATATATCCAGTGGTAGAAAAATAAACAATATATATATATATGTCCCTGGGTGGGGAAATAAACAAGATATATATATATATATATCCAGTGGTGATAGATCGCCTTTAAAACCGAGGGAAAACAAAGCATACTCTTAATCAACCAGAAGCAAAGGGGCTCAAAGGGGAAGGTACTACTGAACAGGGCTGGGTGCTTAAACTTGTCTCACTTCTGAACGAGTGGATTGGCAAAGAAAGCAATAGAACGTGTTGTTTGCCACAAAAACGGTCCAAACCCCAAAACTGTCAAAAGTCCAAAACGGAACTCAGGAGGAACACCAGCCACGCGAAACAGTCAAAGGCACGATGTGTGTGAAAAGTGCAAATCTTGAGTGCCCATTCTGGGTCTTCAAGACTGTGACATCTTCGAGATTGTTGTCTAAAAGGTGATTCAAATGGAAGCCGCAAAATAGTGTTGAGAACCCTTCACAATATTCAATTCGCGAACCTACTTTCACAACAAAATCCGGGTTGCTTCCGTTCCCGATCGTAAGGGTTGACAGTTGGCCGGACAAGGACAAAAGGATTCCTTGCCAATTGACACGGAGTGGCCATTGTTTTTTCTTTTGTTTTCATTTTTTGGTTATTTTTCTCGATTTTAGAGTGTGGTTGCAAACCCGCCAAGAGCAAGCTCGAACAGTTTGATTGCATAGGGCTGTGAAGGCAGTCATTTCAAGGGGTCTCCATACAAGACCGAACAGAGGCGGCCTAAGGGACCATTTCCTAGAAGGAAAGCTGGAAAGCCCTTGAAGGATGGTAAGCTTGTTGTACCCCTCTGTGATCGACATAGGAGCTCTCAAGGTCTTTCCACGTAGCATCCTGTCGACCCCATTCCGCCAAACCAAAGCTCCAAAGAAACTCCTCGGAAGCAATGGGACAACTCTTTGTTCCAAAGGCCCAGCCTTGGTGCAAATGCGCTGCAAGACCAGCGTGGCATTGTGCTCCATGTTCTCGAAGAGCGGGTGGATGATCTGAATATTCGGATCCCCGAGCCCGGTGGACTGCTTTCTCAGGAGCGGCCAAGTGGACTTGCTCCGGATCTCGTCCAATATGAGCACTCCCCGATCAAATCAACGAGAAATTTGTTGATCCTGCATCCCCGAATCCATGGTTATGCTGCATAAGTTATGCTTCGAGTCTACGCCCTAATCGAACCCAAAAAGCATCTGGGACTGCCCATGGAATTCCAGGCTCGAAATGCCCCCCCTCCCCCCCCTCCCGATGTCATGTTCAAGGGTGGGGATATCAACGGCCACAACTACGTGCTTTTCGGCACGTGCCTCCACAATTCATACCTGTACGTGGTCCTTCTGGCTGTTTTGGGACCTCGTACCTCCAAAAGGACGACCAACCTTTACTATTCCTCCATTTGCTTAATCCCCCTGAAAAAATAGAACATATTTCCAGTAGTGATAGATTCCCTTTACAACCAACAGGGGAAAATAAAGCATATTCTTTACCTAATGGACGTATTCTGTACTCCATCATCATAAGTTGGTGACAACTACATCAAAGGGGAGATATGGTTGGGTCCCGTCTTTAAGGGCACATGGAAAAGCCCTGTCATGTACCCCGCATGGAAATTCGAATGCTGTCATGGGCACAATTGTCTTGAACTACTCTGGGCAAGTAGGTCGAATTTCCAAACCAGAAACCCGGTAGCAAAGGCCCTTCACGGAGCCCCAGTTCGTTTTAGCACCAAATGAGCTGGCTATATTTTGCCCAGATACGATATACACAGGAGCTCAGCTGCACACAGCGTACAGAGGGGGCAAGCTGAAGACATCAAACATCCATCGACAAGGGCCCACTAAACCTGTCCCATGCTCAGTGCGGACCTAGCTTAGCTCCAAACTATACCTGGACTACCCGAATCGGCCGATTTGTTTGGCCTTTTTGCAAAAGGCTTCTTTTCTTGCGCAAAACCGGCCGGAAAAACATCGGCGGAATTCGGCTTCAGCACGTCGCACGTCGGAGTGTTTGTTACGTTTCGGCGTTTTAGCTTTTTCTGATTGTCGGCGTAGATTTCTGCCGCCAGGGCCTTTCGGCAGAAAGTCTACCTCCGGAGGGTCCAGGTATTACACATAGCCGAATAGCCTCGTACGAGCTGGTCTCTTTCCAAGGGGAAAACTGAGCATGAAAGCGCTTACTTCTCGCTCACTGCCTCCCGCTCTCATTGGGAACAAAACACTCAGGCGGATATTGGTGTCCGCGGGGCTGACATCTCAAGAGAAGCAGATGTATATCCGCTGGCTACATAGCAAAAACTCCCAACACGACACTAAAAGGTTCTACAAGTAGTCGTTTTTCAGATCCTCGGCTTCCTGCACCCGGACGTATTGTACCCGTCCCTATATTTATGTTTTAAGCATCTCCCAACCAAGGGAAACTCAAATCAAACAAGCGCAGGTGATGCCTAAAATCACCAATTGGGACAAACAAAGCCGTCTGGATTCCCCCGTTCTGCGGGAATGGCGCCAGGTGGGGCTTGTTCATCTCAAAGGTGAGCTCCCCCAACAGCTGCTCTGAGACCAGGCTCAGCAGCGTGACTTTGCTCATGGGCATCGCCTCGCGAACTGGAAAAGGATGCATCCGAGCTACAAACATGATGGGGGCTGGGGAGGGGAGGGAAAAAGCCAAAATAAGCCCCAAAAACATGGCCTTAATAAGGGCTTAACAAGTTTTTTTTGGGCTCCCTCCCCCTACCCTCCCTTCCCCTCAGCCCCCATGAAAACAAGATGTTCGCAGGGAGCCCACGACCTCACTGTGTGAGGTCTTTGGGGGTCAAAGATGCCGCTCATAGTTAGTGTCTTGGCTATGGGTTGGTTGGAAGGAAAAGCCACGAAAGGCGTGGTTTTGTTGGTTGGCTGGAGTTACTTTTTGGTTTTGGCTAGTTTGAGAACCGAAAGGCCCCAAGCGAAACGCCCAGTTCGCTCAACGAGGCCTAGCTTCCGGGAAAGCCCCGACCTTGTCAAGGGGCGCTCCTTTGCTTCCATCTGCTTAAGCCCCGGACACAAACAAATCCAGTGATAGATTCCCTTCAAAACCAACAAGGGAAAATGAAAGATATTCTTAAGCAAACGGAAGCTTGGTATCACAAAAAGATGTTGGAACCCCACTCAGGGCCATGAGTGGCTAAAACATGCTGAACAGCCGCTCGGAACCAAGTGGCTCAAGTCGGGCGCCACCAAGTCGAAAAGTCGAAGGCTCCGGTTGGACTTTTACTGCTCTATCCAGAGCTCTAGCGGAAAGAAATGTGTGGCTTCTGGCCTTTCCAGAAGGATGCCTGGAAAGTAAAGAAACCCACGGCGAACACATGTTCCCCTTGTTTTTTTGGAAGGCTGAGAACCACCACCCGCTGGGTGAACCCAATTTGAAATCGGGGACCTCTATAGGGACCAACCACATCCCACAGCCAACGGGCAATCAATTGCCGGGTTCGGGCTTGCTCCAAACACGGAGCCGTCGAAATTTTGTCGCTCGCCAAATGAAATCCCAAGCCAATGTGCTACAGCTGGGGTTTTGGATTTCAAACCTAAACAGGGATCCTTACATTATACACCTGAACGTTGCCTTGTAAATTGTGGTGTCCCTTTATTTTGGTGGAAAAAAGCGATGTTTCAAATGGGCAAAATGTATCTTTTAAGGAGCCCTGCTAAAAGAAGGGATCCCCAAGTACCGGGAGTTGTGAGCACAGGTGTTCTTGGGGAAGGGCTTCGCATTTGCTCACGGTGCGAATTCCAGTGAATCGGCTTCTTGTATGTTTTGTCTGCCACTAAGACGTCACCCAAAGAAGTGACTCGTCCGAGTCCGAATCGGAGGTCGAGTAAGAATGGTCAAGCACCAGGGCTTCGAGTGCCGAGCCAATTGGATCCAACCTGAGAAGCGTGGCACGACTTGGACAAAAGCCGGGGGCGCAAGTCCCTTCAATCCTGGCCACCTAGAATTTACCTGAGCATCCTTCCAAAAGAAAGCGCTCAAAAACGCTTGGACGAGCCGCTGCGGAACTGATTTGTTTCGCTGGGTCCATTGAATCCTCAAATTCGCCCTCCGAATGGCTGAGACCCCCAAAAGTGATTTTGAGAACGCTCAAAGTGCACACATGTTGCCAGGGTGTCTTAGAGGATACACCAAGAAATGCCTCGCCTTTCCAAATGCATCCCCGGGACGCTGTTTGAGGGATCAGTTTAAGCAAGAACCTCTTGCCAGCCTTCACCTGCTTGCTGTAGGCGTGCTCCGCGAATTTGGTCACCCGCAAAGCCAACTGACGAGGAACCTGCCGTCAGGAGTTCTTGGCTGGTGACCAACAGCACACAATGCACAAACAAATACGTTCTGAAAATAGATGGAAACTGCCAAACATGTGGGTGGCAGTACTTCGCTCTCTGCAAGCCCGGGACGAGTACCCGAAACAAACACACCACCCTAGGTGTTGGGCAGATTAGGTTGGAACCCGAAAACACATGTCTAGAGGAATTTCCTTTGAGGGACTTTATTTTTGGGTTCCAGGGTTGGGTCCCCAATAGGCCATCCAAAAACTGTCCCTGGCAATGTCTGGCGACTTGCCCGCAAGAAAGGCTGATCGAAATCAGTGAGAACAAAAAAACAGCCCTTGCGACATCACCAACAGCAACCCCCGGAACAATTCCAGAACCCCAGTCCAGAAACGTTCCGA